TTGCCGAATATTCCTCCTCCTAATTAACCCTGGAAAGGAACATTAGCATCCAACCTTCATGTGTTTTTTTCTGGGAGACTAAAATACTGATAGTGCTCTTTTTGACAGGTGTCTTTCCCAACAAAATATTAAACATTTCAGACATCACCCTAGTTACTGTGTTCCACCCATAAAGTTGATTTCCTTTGCTTGACAAAAAGCCTTGACAGAGATTTGATATAGCTGGGTGGTGGTGGCACACCACAGAGGCAGGCAGAGCTCTGTGAGTTCAAGGCCAGCCTGGTCTACAGAGCGAGTGCCAGGACAGCCAGGGCTACACAAGGCAACCCTGTCTTGGAAAAACAACAACAACAACAACAACAAAGATATTTAAATATAAAGAGCCCATCTCGGGGAGTAGCTGTTATGTTCTCAGTTTTACTTTAACTCTGCATTGCTCACGAAGAGACCAGTGCTCCATAGTTCTCAAGATTTCCAGTTAGCATCAACAACCTCCTCTGAAACCTGTGAGAAATAGAAATGATCATTCCCCACTGAGGACCCTAGGGTGGGTCCCAGCTAGCTGGATTAATGGGCATGTTTTATGAAAACCACTATCCTGAGGGAAAAAAAATCTTTTGAGGAAGTGGTGATACATTTCTCAATACCTATGGATTTGATCAGACAGTCTGTGGAGACAAGGAAATGAGAAAAGTTCATATGAATTTAACTACCTAGTCTTCCCACGAAAAGGAATTTGGGGGCTGGAGAGATGGCTCAGAGGTTAAGAACACTGACTGCTCTTCCAGAGGTCCTGAGTTCAATTCCCAGCAACCACATGGTGGCTCAAAACCATCAGTTATCAGATCTGTTGCCCACTTCTGGTGTGCAGATATACATGGAAGCAGAATGTTGTATACATAATAAAAATAAATAAATAAATAAAGAAAGAACAAGAAAAAAAAGAATAGGAATTTGGTTACAAAATAATAGAAATTCCATATGAATATTTGCTTCTGCCCAAGTTGAGAGTTTGGATCCTGATCACCATAGAAGATGTGAAACAATGAGATGGACTCTCCACAAGTGCTTAGGATCCCAGCTGCAGGCAAAGCACCTATGAGTTATGATTCCACTGAGTGTTGGATTCCAGGATGCTCACTGCCTGTATATCGCTATATTCTTATCTGTCAATTCCTTGGTTTTGTAAAGAACACATACTCTTTATGAGGGGCAGATTGTGAAAGACCCAGTGCCTTCGAAGGGTATGTCATTGGTTACATCAGGAAACCCCTGATTATGGAGATATGGAGATATCTCACAGGTTTGTACTTTTCCTAAATATATCCACGCTGACCTAGTGTATCCTACCTGATCTCATGGTCAATGCTCAGCTACTTTTAGATTCATCTGTAGCTTCTTGTACCATTTATACTGCCTTTATATGGGGGACAGGATCTCACTATGTAGCCCAGGCTGGCCTTGAATTTGAGGTTTTTCTGATTGCTAACTCTAGGCCAACCTAAGCTATATAGTGCAACTCCCCCTGCTCCCCCCCAAAAGAATCCAGTAAAAAATAAGATGAACCATTTAGAAAGATGATTTACTATTCAAAATTGCACATTAGCAGTTGGGTGTAATGGTACATGCCTATAATCCCAGCATTTGAGAGACGGAGGCAAGAGGACCAAGAATTCAAGGCAAATCTCAGGTTCATAGAGGATTTGAGTCCAGACTGAGCTACACAAGACTCTCTCTCAAAAAGCAGAAAGAACAGACAGAAGGGAAAGAACATAAATGGATTTTTAGTTTTGTTTTATGATTATTAAGTCTAAACATTAAGTGCTAGCCTTGAAGAGACTCCAGTCTTCATGACCTTCATGCCCTGTCCATGGTGGGTTGTTCTTTCTTATGCAAAGCTACCCCAGCCCCAATCTCCCAGAAGCTTTGAGCATAAGCCTTGGCTGTGAGAGCTTCTCCACTGCCCTTTTCATCAATCCCCCCTCATTTCAAGCACGACACAGCAGTGCAGAAGTCCCCTGGCCAGAACCACTGTGCTTTTTTCTCACCACTTGCAGTCAGCACCTGGCCCAATCTTGCCACTGTTCCATAGTCTCAGCCGGGTCCCTTTCCATAGACCTTGCCCTGCTGTCAAATAGCAATTGCAGATGCCGCTGCCCTGATCAGAGGCAAAGCCTCACTGAGTATCACACTGCGTGCAGGTGCACATATAAGAAAGGTGAGCGAACCTGGGACCTTAGATGTCGGAAATTCAGCTCATAATGAGATTTCGCTTTGTGCTTGAAATTGGCACAAACACTGCCAACTACAAACCTCTGCTCTTTTCTTATAATTTGGTGAATTCAATCAATAACTCATAGTAATCAGTCAAAAATGGCTAAATCAGAAAGTGATGTTTTCTTATTGGTGATAATAATTGGCAGGGTGTGTAGAAAGGGAAGAGTAAACATATGTTGAATATTCTTATGATTTAAGATGATTGTCAATTCAACGTAGCCATTTCTTACCCAGAGCATTTAAAATGATTTATTAATGATTATCCTTTTCTAGTCTTCTTGCTTATGAAGAACTGTAAGAGCTGGAGAGGTTTCTCTGCATCTTTTACCATAAGCATCATAACATATGAGAGCGTAAAGAAGACTGGGAAAGTAATGGTTAATGGCATGCAGATCCCCGCCTCCCCTTCCCTCTTGCGTTTTTCACCCATCTGCTTCCTTTCTTTTTCTTTTCCATCTGCCATCTCCTCTGGGCTAATTCCTCAGGTAGTGACATGTCATTTCCCTCTCACTGTAGCTAGACAGTTAAAGGGTTCTTAGTAGCTGATGTAGCCTGACTGGATGTGCTGCTTGTATTGAAATGCTGCAGACAGCGGAACTTGCTCTTTGTAAGGTATGGTTTTCAGTGTTATCAATGGGGAAAGGGGGCAACTCAGAGGAAATTAACAGGTGATTTAGAGAACTTGGCAGTATTTGTTGTTACTAGAGAAGTTTGTGGTGTTGGGCTGAAGAGATGGCTCAGTAGTTAAGAGTACTGATTGTTCTTCTAGAGGACCTGGGTTCAATTCCCAGCACCCACATGATAGCTGATAATTGCATGTAACTCCAGTTCCAGGGGATCTGGCACCCTCACACAGACATACATACAGGCAAAACACCAATGCACATAAAATAAATCTTAAGGAGAGAGAGAGAGAGAACCATAGTCTCTATGATTAGGTTTTGGTTTTAGATCTTTTCTCTTTTATGTAAAGTTCCTTAGTTCTGGTCACTGTAGTTTCCCATCAGGCACGATTCCATTTATAATTTTTTAACTTTCCTATCTAAGACTTGAAGTGGTGAAATAGACTTTTTCTATCTATGAAATGGTGAAATTAGTATTTAGAATTTGATCTTTCTGTTTAATTTTAACTCTGCTGTTTTCTTTAAATCTCAGCCCCAGATATCATCTTTTGAGCAGGCCATTCTAAGTACAGTCTGCCATTCCTGTCAGCTGTCCCCTTTAAGTGCACACATGCTTGCAGGGTGTTGGTGATGCACGCCTTTAATCCCAGCTCTTGGGAGGCAGAGACAGGCAGATCTCAGTGAGTTCGAGGCCAGCCTGGTCTGCAAAGCGAGTTCCAGGACAGCCAGGATTGTTACACAGAGAAACCCTGACTCGAAAAACCAAGAAAACAAAAGAGCACAGATGCCCACACTGACTCAAGTGTTTTATGGCTTAAGTAAGAGCCAGGTTCTGAGAACCCATAAAATAGTAGTAGAGTCTGTGGGGAACAATCAATTTTATTCATTTTACCCATGTGCACCCCAATAACCATTGGAATGTAGTAATTTGAATATTCAGATTGCTTTCAGCTGGCTGATTTGTTTCTAGGTTGAATAAAAGAATCCTTTTCCACCCATGTGACAGCAAGTAGTCACCAGTGTTCCCATTATCTCATCTTAAACATTTCTAATCACATGACAATATTCCTCTGCCCTGTGTGCTTTAAAAACAAAAACAGAAACAAAAACAACCAGCCCTGACCATAACTTCCCAAAACAATTACTTTCACTTTGTTTTTTGCCCATTAGAGTTACCTGGTTTACACTGTTTACCATATAAACATGTGCCTTTGTTCCTCTTCATAGTTTAACTGACAGGATTAATGTGAAATTGAAATTTGGAATGAAAACGAAAGGGAATTTCTCTTGGTGTTTTGTTTTGCTTTTGAACGGGAAGACTGTTGTTCTGGCTTCTAGTCTTTGGTCAAACACGTATTGTGTGGATGACAGCTGGGTAGATTAGGCTAATCGGAGTTCACCTTTTAGGGCAGCTTCTCCATTCTGATGAGACCAGGTGTTAGAGAGAGAGAGGTGAGGAAATAGTAGACCTCTGTGGGGGACATCCTGTGCCTTCATTTCATTGTATAAGCTGTCCTAGTGGAAGTCATTTTAAATCATTAAGCAAGGCCAGGAGCTTTAGATTGTTTAGCTGTGGCCTGTTTTTTACTTAATTCTTATTCTCTGCCATAAAGTATACACGAACTTTTCAGTATTCCAAGATTCCTAGTCAGAAAATACAATCTTTGGATGTTTTCACTTTTTCTTGTCTTTATGAATGCAACAGAGGCCCAGGCCTGTCCAGCTTCTGCCCTTCCTTTTTTTTTTTTTTTTTTTTTTTTTTTTTTTTTTTTTTTTTGACAGGGTTTCTCTGTGGCTTTGGAGGCTGTCCTGGAACTAGCTCTGTAGACCAGGCTGGCCTCAAACTCACAGAGATCCACCTGCCTCTGCCTCCCAAGTGCTGGGATTAAAGGCTTGTGCCACCATTAAATCCTATGCTTTGGGGTGTTTTATGTGTGGCCATGCTAGCAGTACTCCTGTTAGGTATTTACCAAAGGCTGGAGGTGCCCTTTCTAGCTCCAGGTCCCTTACTTGAAATAGTGTCCCACCGCCTGCATGCTTGCACAAAAGTGTTCTTGGTGGCTGTCTAGAAATGAAGTAGTGACAATATCTGCAGAGCTGTTTGGGGTTGTTTTTTTTTTGTTTGTTTGTTTATTGTTTGTTTTTCTCTCAAAAAGGAGAACTTGTCAGCTTTCTGCCCAGGCTTATTTAGGAAAGCATTAAAGAAGAAAAATGACTTCCACCAAGTAACAGATTTATACATGTATCCATCATTTCATGTTTTTCTTCTGTTCCTTATTTCTAAAACCATTTCCCCAGATGCTCTTCTGGGGAAGTTTTGCTTTCTTTAGCCTGTGTGTATTCCTTTGTTTCCCTCTTTATTATTCTCTCTCCTTTTTTGTGGGTATGCTCTATCTTTCAGTGTTTTGGGTTTATTTGGTTTTTTGTTTTGTTTTTCCTCTTTTTATTTCTTCTCTTCATCTTTATTTTCTGAACCCATCTCCTGGTTCCTCGTTCCCTGCATGCCACTAACTATTTTCATTAGATATTAATTGATTTGTGAATTCAGGCTGAATTGCATCATCAGCAGATGGCGGATCCAGACCTGTTGGAAGAATCGTCATCACTCTTGGAGCCAAATGAGATGGGAAGAGGCACGCCTTTAAGACTCGGGTAGGTGGAACTTCACCCTTGGTGGGTTTGTGTTCTTCTTTGCTATTCGTAAGAGCAGTGAGTGGTGCCATACATAGCGATGCATGTATGTGATCCCACTCCTCAGGAGGCAAAAGCAGGAAAATCATACATTCGAGGCCAGCCTGGGCCATATACTGAGATCCTGTCTAAACTATGGGCTGGAGATATAGATTATTTTGGTAGAACCCTTGCCTGACATGTCAAGGCCCTGTATTTCATCTTGGGTGGAAGGTGGGGGGACTCATGAGTCTTGGGACTCATTTGCTGACAGGAGCCACTTTGTTCTGAGCCACTGAGAGCTAGCTGTTCCTGGATTTGTCTGGATTCAGTTCCTGGATCGTTTCTCAGCCCTCTGTTGGGTCTAGAAATGAGATCAGGAGTTATAGAGTGGCAGCCAGCCCTCTTCACACCACAGCAGGCTGTCTCATGTGCAGTGTATGATCTTTCCCCTTTCCCTCTCTCTCCTGCTTTGTCCCAACCCAACCCTTTTCCCCACAGCTTCGTGGCTGGTGTGATTAACCGGGAGCGGATCCCTACCTTTGAGCGAATGCTTTGGCGAGTGTGCCGAGGGAATGTGTTCCTGAGACAGGCTGAAATCGAGAACCCGCTGGAGGATCCTGTGACTGTAAGACAAGGAAATTGTGTCTTGGGGAGTAGGTCTTGTAAAGTGAGCCCGGACCAGTAGCACAGCCTGGTGCCATCAGAGGAGCCCTTGTTTGATGAGAGCCTTGAAGGCTCACTCCCCTTTCTTTAACTTAGCTCCCTCCATGCAGACATGATATACACATATTTTTAAACTTTACCCATATAGGTTTTTTCTTTTTTCTTTTTTTGCACATTTTCTACAATTATTCTAAATTTTAGCTTTATAGGTTTCTTGTTACTAATCTGGGCTGAAAGAAAATTAGCCTTTTATGGAAACTAACATAAAAGCAAGATACCTCATTCCAAATGTGGTAATGTCATATATAAAAAAAGATAGATTTCAAGCTGGGCCTTTGATCCCAGCACTCGGGAGGCAGAGGCAGGTGGATTTCTGTGAGTTCAAGGCCAGCCTGGTCTACAGAGCAAGTGCCAGGATAGGCTTCAAAGCTACACAGAGAAACAAAAAAACAAAACAAAACAAAAAAATAGATTTCCTAAATCTTAATCTTTATGAGCTGATGTAAACTTCACTTGCCAAGATTTTATTATCTACCTGTTTATTGGGAAGATTAGAGACTTAATCCAAGCATGTATACACGAAAGGTGAGGGTGACCTTGTCCACCCTGCTCTTTGGAATGTTTTGGCATTTGACACAAGGAGACACAGTTCATAGCAACACCTGCATGACATGGGGTCCTGATCGCAGGTATCTCAGCAAAGGTCAGATGTGTCACTGAGACAGCATGTCGCTCTTACCTTAGCATTATTTAGAAGCCCGAAGTTAGCCTACCTTATAAATGTCTTAAGGTATTATTTTTTGTTCCAAGAAGAATTTAACTTGGGAATCTCTCGGCTTTCCTGGGTAGCACTCTGTGGTTTTCACCCCCTGTCTGAGTAGGAACATGGTGACAGTGTGAATACTTGAACCCTGGGGTATAGTTTTTCAGGCTGCCTTGGGTTGTAGATACATTGTAATCTAAGTGGTGTTCAGTCAAGCTTCCTCTCCACAGCAGAAAGATTACATTATCAACAAATGCAGGAAAGCGGGACATGATATCTCTAGCAGAGCAGCTGCACCAAGAACAGGCTCCAGTTTAGCCAGGAGAGTTAGGGAGTGTCTTGAATCTATCTTGAGGTAGCTTCCAAAGTTGTTTTCTTTTTAAAAGCAGTACACACACTGTATGTGAGGCATTATGAGCAGCCTGAAGAATCTTAGTTAATAGCTCATACGCATATTTTTTCTGATTTTTTTTTCCTTGTTGTTCTTGTACTCGAGGTGTGGGCTTGGTATTAGGGATTGTCTGCCTGCCTTGTTGCATGAAGTCTGAGTTAGTGGGATCTCGAGATTCAACCAACAATGCTGTTCTTGCCTGTGACTTAGTTCCTTGTATCCAGCCAACTCTTTATCTGGTTCTCTCTAAGACCAGGAACAGACAGGCTTCCTACTGTCCCCTCTCCTCTGTACTTTTGTCGTCCTGGAAATACAAGAGTCCGAGAAGAACTGGAGAAACAAACTCCACTGGGCTGAGCAGCCCCCACTGGATCAGGCTTCCCGTTGTGTCTGAAAACAGGAAGATGTTTGTGGATCTGGGGTTATAGGGCAGATATTCTCACAATGAAGCTTAGGGGCTGCAGTAAGGATAGAGTGCAGAGGCCATGTCCTTAAAGGAATCATTCTGATGTCACCCAGGTTTAGTTGTTCTACAACTCTCCAACTAGACCTGTAAGCCCAGCACTCAGGAGCCTGGGTTAGGACTGCCATGAGTTTGAGGCCAGTGTAGGTCACACAGTGAATGCCAGGCTAGCCTGAGTTGCAGTATAAGACTGTCTCAAAGGAAGTGCTCATCCATACTGAGTTCTGAACTTTTGGTTTTTTCTTCTGGGGCCTAGGGTGACTACGTGCACAAGTCTGTATTCATCATTTTTTTCCAAGGTGATCAGCTGAAAAACAGGGTCAAGAAAATCTGTGAAGGGTAAGAGATGCCTGCCTCTAGCCGAGAGATACAGCTGTGCTGCCTACTTACGGCTCAGAAAAGTGACACACAGATCCTTGTTCTGCTTTACACAATGAGTGCGCTGCTCACTGATGTTGGGAATATTTTCAACCATCAGAAGTAGCTCGGGCTTTTCTTGTTTTTCATCAGAACCACAGCTTGGAGACTGGGCGATAGCTCAGAGGATAAAGTACTTATTGCACAAACATAAGGGCTGGAGTTTGGATCCCCAGAATCCACATAAGAGCCAGGTTGCATGGCAGCCACCTGTAATCCCAGCATTGGGGATTCTGAGACAGGATCCCTGGAGCACTGTGGCTAATGAGGCTCCCTGCATGGGTGTACTCTGGAATCAAGAGAGACCCTACCTGAAGGACTGAGGTGGAGAGCAATCTAGGAAGACTCCTGGTGTCAACCTTGGGTCTCTAGGACACGCACACCACACATATATACTCATACCCTCACCCCCCAAAAACAACTAAACTCACAGTTCCTTTATTCAGGGACAGCGGTTTACATGCCAGCAGAGTGCCATGGGCACTATGTAAACTTTATGGAATTCTGTGTTATGGATAGAAATTTTGCTGTGCCATATTTCTCTAACAACATGTTAAAAATTGATTTTTAATTATTTTTTTCAAAATCCTTTGGTAAAGATTTATTTTATGTTAATGAGTATTTTGCCTGTATGTGTGTATATGCCTGGTGCCCTTGGAAGCCAGAAAAGAGTGTCAGATCCCATAGAACTGCAATTACAGGCAGTTGTGACACACAGGTACTTCAACTGAATGGGGTCCTGTGAAAGAGAAGCAAGTGCTCATAACTGCCAAGCAATCTCTCCAGCCCCTTATTATTATTATTATTTTAAATCTCAAAACAATTTCATAGCTAGAGAGACTGTCAAGACTGTTCAGTGTAGGTTCACTGTAGGCTGCTTCACATAAGTTATTAGTGTTGATTGGAAAAACAGCCTGATCTAGTTGTGTTTTGATCCTACTGACTTACTACTGGTAAGTTAGGATTACTTTCTAAGGTGATGTAAATAGAACATACTCAGAAACTTCAGTGTTCCTAAGGCTGTTCCTATCCCTTCCAGGTTCCGAGCCTCCCTCTATCCCTGTCCTGAGACTCCACAGGAGAGAAAAGAAATGGCTTCCGGAGTCAATACCAGGATCGATGATCTCCAGATGGTACATGGGGGACCGTGGGAATTTGACTTTGTGAACTATGACAGCAGTGAGCCACTCTGCTCCCTTGAGTCCTCCACAGTCTGTTAAGGAACTTGCAGCAGTTGAGGATACTAAAAAAATAACTGTGTGTGGATAGTGGGAACTGGCAAAAGTCTCAGGGTAGGATTCTTAAAAATAGCATTAGTCCCCCCTCCAACAAGAAAGGGATGCTCTGTGTCTGGAATCCTTGTTGCCTCAGAGCAGCCCATTCCCCTGCTTCATGAACCTGAGATGTTTTTTCCAATAATACATTTTTCTTACCTGTGCTGAGTTAAGAAAAAGAAAACTCAGACAATCCAGAAGTACATGTGGAGTCCATTCTGCCCTCCCACTTTTAACAGCCTGACATAGCTTCTGGTTACCTTTGATCTTAACCACATGGGCTAGTCAACGAACCCACAGTTGACTCTTGAACGCAGTAGGAGACCGTTAGATTTTTATCAATTTATAGTGCAAAAGTCATGCACACTATGGCCCTAACAGGGTTCTAAAGGAAGAATCGTGATGTGTGGGTATTTGGAAGGGAATCGTGTTACTTTTTGAAAGAAAGAGTGTAGTAGTTGTTTGCTCACCTCACCCCGAGGCTTTTCTTTGGAGCAGTGATATATATAGCAGACATATGGGATGGCTCCCATTTCATTCCCTTTCCCATGTTCCTTCCAGCCCCCCCTGGAGATGACCCACCAGTTTGAACTGTTGCTGCCTCCTCTGAGATGCTCATTGTCCTTCCTTTTGTGTGTGTGTGTGTGGGGGGGTGCTGCTAGGAATAGAACCTGGGACCTCATGCATGCTAGGCAGATTTCTCTACTACTCCAGAACTCAAATTTCTTGAGCTATAGAGACATAATTCAGTGGTAGCATGCTTGGATAGCATGAACAAGGCTCTGAGTTCCAACCCTAGTTCCTAGCGCTGTAAGAACTCATGTTTCTTGTAATTTGACCAACCCCCACCACCCTAAACCCACAAGCCCCCAAATAATACATCTTGCTAGGGGAAGAATATGACTGTTCCCTGGAAACCCTTTTTAGAAAGCAATGCCATAACTGAGCACACCTTTAATCCCAGCACTCGGGAAGCAGAGGCAGGTGGATTTCTGTGAGTTTAAGGCCAGCCTGGTCTACAGACTGAGTTCCAGGACAGCCAGAGCTACACAGAGAAACCCTGTCTCAAAATAAATTTAAAAAAAGAAAGAAGATTAGAAAGCAAGTTATACCACTTTACCATCCTATTCTATGATGGAAGACTTGTGTTAGAAAGATCCCTCCCCTGCCGGGCGTTGGTGGCACACGCCTTTGATCCCAGCACTCGGGAGTCAGAAGCAGGTGGATCTCTGTAAGTTCGAGGCCAGCCTGGTCTCCAGAGCGAGTGCCAGGATAGGCTCCAAAGCTACACAGAGAAACCCTGTCTCAAAAAACAAACAAAACAAACAAACAAGAAAGATCCCTCCCCTATTTCCTCTTCTCCCAAAAGGTTCTCAATCAAACAGAGGACCACCGCCAGAGGGTTCTGCAGGCAGCTGCTAAGAACATTCGGGTCTGGTTCATCAAGGTGCGGAAGATGAAGGCGATCTACCATACCCTGAACCTGTGCAACATAGACGTGACCCAGAAGTGCCTGATTGCAGAAGTGTGGTGCCCTGTCACTGACCTTGACTCCATCCAGTTTGCACTTAGAAGAGGCACGGTGAGTCTCCAGCTAGAATGAATGTAGTGGGCAGGAGGAGAGCCTCCTTTAACCAACTTCATATTTATGACATTTTTGCTTTCAGAGTTCTTACTGTGTGCTTATACCCTGAGAGTACACACACACACACACACACACACACACACACACACAGGTATGCAAGCTATGCCTGAAGTACCTTACAGTTAAGACAGGCAGACCAACGAGACAGTCTGGGCTGAGTGGAGATGTGTGTGGGGGTGGGGTGGAGCTTTTCTAACTAATGTGACCAGAAAAAGCTTTAAGAAAAAGTGGAGTTTGGTGGAACAAGGGGTGTAACTCAACAGAAGAGCTTTTGCTTGTCATATATGAAACCCGGGTTCAGTCCCCAGAGCTGCAAACAAATAAGCCAACTATGAAAAGGTGACTTGTTTGTTGAGACAAGATCTCATGTAGCCCAGGCTGGCCTCAAACTTACTATATAGCCAAGGAAGACCTTGAACTCTAGATTCCCTTGCTGTTACTTCCCAAGTGCTGGAATTACAAGGACATGCCAACATATCTTGGTTTATGCAGAGCTGGAGATTAAACCAGGGCTTCACTGCTTTGAGGAGCAGTGGCATACATTTTTAATCTCAGCACCCAAGTGGCAGAGGCAGGCAGATCTCTAAGTTCAAGGCCAGCTCGGTCTAGAGTTCCAAGACAGCAAGGGCTGCACAGAAGAAATCCTGTCTCAAAAACAAAACATACAAACAAAAATACCAGGGTTTCATGCATGCAAGGCAAGCAGTCTCCCAGTTCCGCTGCTTCTCTAGCCCTGTCCATGTGATTTTCTGCTTGCTTAACCATTGTACCCATTCAAGTCCCTGGTCATAAGTCATCTTTTGAAGCCCGGTTATAAATGATTTTTCAGATGTTACGGGATTTAAATGTTACTCTGGAAGGCTAGAGAGGCAGCGGGTTATGTAGCTGTGGCTAAAGCAGATTTGAAAACACAATCAGCAGACCATGAAGAGCAGAGAAACCCTGAGAGTGGGTGGCCGGTCATGAGGCTGCTGTGAACACAGAGTTGTCATTGATGAGGGCTGCTGGCGGGACTTGAGGAAACATGGTGGATTCCTGAGACATGCTGGAGGGGAAATGAGTGCATGGCCTCATTTTTAGCAAAGCACAGGGACAAGAATTTAAAGTTTCTAAGGCACCTGGGGATTAATGTTCCTGGAAGTCAGAACCCAGGAGGAGAAGCGTCTTAAGGGGAAGGACAGCAGTTTGAGCTGCAGTCACACTGAGGCTATGAACAGAAATCTGTGAGAAAATATCAAGCAGACACTGGGGCTAAACTAAAGAAGTCAGAGCGCTAGCGAGAATGGCGGCACTGAGACCTCAGAGGAGGCCCTAAAGACAGAAAAAGGAGTCCCTCGGAGCCCTGTGGCGTCACTGGGTGGGCAGAGGCAGAGCTGGTGTCTGGCCAGTCACTTCATGAGTATTTTAGCTGAACCTCAGGACTCAGGGGATGAGGAGTTGGTGGCTAATAGATGCAAACAGCATGTTTTGTCTTCTCTGGTCTTGAATTCTTGAATTAAGTGATCCTGCCTCCTCAGTCTGCTGAGTGGGCCACTGCCTGGCTTAAACTTTTTTCGCCATAATGATATACTTCTTAAGACTTAATTAAAGCGGACTTTTTATGTATTTATTTTGCCTGCAGATATCCAGTCTGTTTGTTTGTTTGTTTGTTTTCCAATTTCCAATTATTGAAACCGTTTCTCACTATGTAGCTCAGGCTGGCCTGACTCCCAGTCCTCTTGCCTCTACCTCCTGGAGCACCAGGGATCACAGGCAAGTACTCTACTATGACTTAATTGAAATCCTCTGGTTTCAATTTTAGATCTAGTCCCAGTTTTTCCAAATACTGAGAAAGATGTAAAATAATCTTGATTTTTGTTAGTTTGATTGAAATGTAACTATAGAAGATACAAGTTTTAGGTGTGCAGTTTCGAGTGTGATGCATGTGTGCATCTGCATAGCCATGAAGACACCTCATTTTGACACATTGCTGATGTTTCCTAGGAACACAGTGGTTCTACGGTTCCTTCCATTCTGAACAGGATGCAGACAAATCAGACTCCCCCAACGTACAACAAAACCAACAAGTTCACACACGGCTTCCAGAACATAGTAGATGCTTATGGGATTGGGACTTACCGAGAGATAAACCCAGGTAAAAGATTGTTTCTCCCTAGCAGGTGTCCTCAGGATTGTAATTTAAGCAAAGCAGTGAGATAGAGAAAAGACACCATTTGACAGGGTTCAAGCAGAGGGTTGTTTTTTTGTTTTTGGGGTTTTTTTGTTTGTTTGTTTGTTTTTTGTTTTGTTTTGTTTTTAATAAGGAAAAGGGATCATAAAAAGGGGAAAGGGAATGGGGGAAACCTGGCCACCGGAGACAGGAGCAACAGGAGAGACAAGAATGGAAAGAGGGGGAGAGAGGGGAACAGAGAGGAGAATGGGAGGTGGGCGGGGCCCTTTTCAAAGGGAACGTAGTTAATGTGCACAGGTGGTGCTCTTAGTGGCTGCAGCAGAGGGCGTATCCTGTCAGAACCCCAAGGGCAGGGCCAGTACAGATACCTGGATACTAACACTCAGCCTAGCCGGGCGTTGGTGACGCATACCCTAATCCCAGCACTCGGGAGGCAGAGGCAGGCAGATCTCTGTGAGTTCAAGGCCAGCCTGGTCTCCAGAGCGACTGCCAGAATAGGCTCCAAAGCTACACAGAGAAACCGTGTCTCGAAAAAACAAAAACAAAAAAACCCAAAAACTAACACTCAGCCTACAGGCTTCATGTGCAATAGCTATGAATAGAGCCCAGTTTTGGGGGATATTTGACAATTTTTAATTGTGTAGTTCTCTAATACAAACTTTGTAAATGGCAGCATTGTGTCAAAGTGTCAAAAGGATGGACATGCCTACTACTTTGTATGATTCTTTTAATATTTTAAATTCCTTGTTGTTTGTTGTTTTGTTTTGAGACAAGGTCTCATCATATATCTCTGGGTGGCTGGGAACTTGCTTTGTAGATCAGGTTGGCTTCCAACTCAGAGAGACCTGCCTGCGGCTGCTTCCTAATACTAGGATTAAAGGTTGTGCGCCACCACACTTGGCTAATATTTCAGGCTTTTTCCTCCTTCCTTCCTTCCTTCCTTCCTTCCTTCCTTCCTTCCTTCCTTCTTTCCTTCATTCCCTCCCTCCCTCCTTTCTTTCTCTCTCTTTTTGTTTTTGATTTTTTTTTAAAGATTTTATTTATTTATTATGTATACAACATTCTGCTTCCATGTCTATCTGCACACCAGAAGAGGGCACCAGGTCTCATAACGGATGGTTGTGAGCCACCATGTGGTTGCTGGGAATTGAACTCAGGACCTCTGGAATAGCAGCCGGTGTTCTTAACCTCTGAGGCATCTCTCCAGTCCTGTTTTTGATTTTTAAGACCTGGTTTCTCTGTGTAGCCCTGGCTGTCCTGAAACGCCCTCTGGAGACCAGGCTGGTTTTGAACTCACAGAGCTCTGCCTGCCTCTGCCTCCTGTGTGCTGGTATTAAAGTTGTGTGCTATCACTGTCTTACTAATAATCTTGTTGGACAACTGTTTTAGTGATGTTCAGATCTCCGCCAGTGTGCAAAGCATACCCATTAGACATAAGCAGATCATCACTGGATCATGTTTCACTAAGAGCTTCTTTTTTTTTTTTAAGATTTTATTTATTATTTGTTTATTTATTATGTATAGTCTTCTGCCTGCATGCCAGCAGAAGGCACCAGATCTCATTCAAGATGGTTGTGAGCCACCATGTGGTTGCTGGGAATTGAACTCAGTACCTCTGGAAGAGCAGTCAGTGCTCTTAACCGCTGAGACATCTCTCCAGCCCCCACTTAGAGCTTCTTATTGGATTTTTGTGTATGTCCTCAAAACTACAAAATACCTGGCCTCTCAAAATGGCAAAACAAAAAAATGTTCACTGGTCTTGGTGGTGCTCGCCTTTAATCCCATCACTTGTAAGGTACAGGCAGATGAATCTCTGAGTTCAAGTCCTTCCTGGTCTACATAGTGAATTCTAGACTAGACAGGGCTACATAGTAACACCTGTCTCAAAAAAAAATAAAAATAAAAAATAAAAAATACCACTTGGTTTTGGAGGGACTGTTTAAACAAACAAACAAACAAAAATATTTTTTTAGTATCTTATATTCTAGAATGACTTCTTGGTTTCCCTGGCCTCAGGCCAGACAAAAAGTAGAGGAATAGCAACTATTTTCAGTAGAAGTCAGGTCTCTCTCATGTTCAGTTAATTATTAATTGGAGAGGCTGAGCATCATTATTGGACCTGCTTTGCTCTGGTTCCAGGCTTCCCCCATTGCCTGAGGGCTTGTCAGCTCAGAAAGGGTTGCTGCACAGAGAGGCAGCAGCTGGCCTCTCCCAGAGTAGAGTCCTGAGGCTGGAGGAAGGGAGCAGAACAATAAGCTAGTGTTGTCAGGGCCCCCTGTTTCCTGTCATCTTCATAGTATGGAGTCTTAGCTGTAGCACGCAGCTCGTCAGCTGCCCTGTGAGGGTGTGGATACCACTGTGACAGAGTTCCCTGAGGGAGTCCATTCATCCAGCATGGAGGAATAAGCCACCCATGTTGACCTGAGTCCAGACAAGAATGAGGCATGTGGGGGCTCGTGCTTTTTTATGTAGCTCATGGTTTTCTCTCCGGTTTATCTCCAGCTCCATACACCATCATCACTTTCCCTTTTCTGTTTGCTGTGATGTTTGGAGATTTTGGCCACGGCATTTTGATGACCCTTTTTGCAGTGTGGATGGTGTTGAGGGAGAGCCGGATCCTCTCCCAGAAGAACGAGAATGAGGTACTGTTTCAGTGACTCCTGACTGGACTGAGTTGTGTAATATCTCAAGCATTCATGATGAAAATAATGGTCTAAAAGTCCATGAATTTACAAAAAGGGAATAAAGTTGTTTGAAATTTGAAGGGGCCATGTGCTGTGCAAATGAATTTAACTTAGCATTCTTCTTATTTCATTTGTGGTTGTGAGGGTTGACCCTTGGGCCTCACAGGGATAGGCAAGTGTTCTGCCATTGAGCCTCTTAGCTTATATTCTGATCCTTAGTTCAAGCTTTCAGAGCCAGGATGTGGTGAGCTGGTGCATGATTGGTATATTAGAAGTAGTGTTGTCACAACAGAAGCTGCCACACTTGTTCTGACAGCTCCTTTCCTCTGGCTCCAGATGTTCAGCACTGTGTTCAGCGGTCGATACATTATTCTCCTGATGGGACTATTCTCCATCTACACTGGTCTCATCTACAATGATTGTTTCTCCAAGTCTCTGAATATCTTTGGGTCATCGTGGAGTGTGCGGCCAATGTTCACTCTAGGGAACTGGACGTAAGTTACAGAAACCAAAAATCAAAGCTAATTCTTTGTATGTTCAGCTCTGACTTGTAGGGCGAACAGTATACTAGCACCCTTAGAAGAACTTGAAAATGTCTGTTTCAGAGGGACGTGTTGTCTCCTCTCATTTATGCTTTAATCTGTGAAGGACTATATGATTTATTCAGCAAGTATCAAGGATCTGAGCCTATGAATGAATGTAAACTTCTATTTATTTTTTTGTAAATTAAGAGCAAGTTACCTAAATTCCCTACTTAGTTATGTGTTAGTGCTTATTACTTTTCCTCTGTGTTTGCTTCCCTCTTGTTCTTAGCTACTAATTTCTCCTTTTTTTTCTTTTTGCACGCGCGCGAGTGCGTGCGTGCGTGCGTGCGTGTGTTCAGTTGTATGGAGATGCATGTATGTGTGTGTTCAGTTGTGTGAAGATGCGTGCTTGTGTATGTGTTAGTGGTGTGGAAATGCAGTGTGTGTGTGTTTTCAGTTGTTTGGAGATGCATGTGAGTGTTTGTGGAGGCCCATGGTTGGCACTGATTGGCTTCCTAACTCATCTCCTCCCACGGCAGATTTTTGGGTCTCCTCCTGAGCTAGGAGCTACCACCCAGCTAGTCAGGCCAGCTTGTTTGTCCCCACCTCCCCCCCCTTCCCTAAGGGCTGCTATACCTGCCTGATTTTCATGCAGGTTCTGGGGCTGTTAAGTCCTGCTTGCCAGGTGAGCACGCTCTCACTGAGCCATTCCTCCAGCCCACAATAGCTGTAGTAGTTTCTTCTGTGCTCTGTTTTTAAACCTGGTAGTTTTCGTTTCTTAATCAAAAATAAATGTGACTTTCTTAAACCCAACAGGGAAGAGACACTTCTGGGGAGCTCTGTTCTCCAGTTGAACCCGGCTATCCCTGGAGTTTTTGGTGGACCGTACCCATTTGGCATTGATCCAGTAAGTGTGCCTCCTTCCTACATGTGGCTTTCCCCAAGATTGGTGCCTGTTTGTTATGAGTGCCAAGAATTGAACCGAAGGACGTGTGTATGCTAGGCATTATGCTCTGCTTCTTGAGCTATATGCCAGCCCTTGGTTACCTTTTTGTTTTTGTTTTTTCATTTGAGGTATGTTCTTGCCACACTCTAGCAGGACTTGGGCATTTTAATCTCCCTGCCTCATTTTTGAAGTTTTTAACTGATCTTGAAATGAGAGGCTTAAGGTGGAGATAACTAAAGTATACACCTATAATCCCAGCACTGGGACTGAGGTAGTAAGAGTATGAGGCTAGCTCAGGCTATGTAGTGAAACCCTGTCCAAAAGAAGCAAAAACAACAGACAAAACCCTAAAAACTAACTGAAAAATAGGAGCTGAGAGATGCTCAGTTGATAAAGTCCTTGTTGTGATTGTTATAATTTAAAAAATGGTGTGAGAGAAAGACGCGGTTCTGAGTTCAATTCCCAGCAACCACATGGTGGCTCACAACCATCTTTAATGAGATCTGATGCCTTCTTCTGGCATGTAGGCATGTATGCAGATAAATCACCGTATACATACTAAATAAATAAATATATATATATAGAGAGAGAGGGAGGGAGAGAGAGAGATATATGCCATATGACAGGGTCCAAGCAGAGGGGCTTTTTATTGGGGGAAAAGGGAAAGGGGAGACGGGCTTCCATGGACAGGAGCAGCAGGAGAGAGGCAGAGAGAGAGAGAGAGAGAGAGAGAGAGAGAGAGAGAGAGAGAGAGAGAGAGAGAAACAGACAGAGAGAAAGAGAGAGAGAAAGAGAGATGGGAGATGAGCAGAGCCCTTTTAAAAGGGAACATAGTGAATAGGCATGGATGGTGCTCTTAGTGGCTGCAGCTAAGGGCATAATCCTGTCAGAACCCCAAAGGCAGGCAGTGCAAATGCCTAAATACTAACACTGAGGACCTGAGTTCAGATCTCAGCACCCACATAACAGCTAGGTGTGTTGACATGCACCTGTAGCCACAGTGCTATGGAGCCAGAGATAGACTGAGCCTGGGGGGACCACTAACCAGCCACTAGCTGAATCAGTGAATGCTAAGATCTGTGAGAGACCCTGCCTCAAAAAGTCAGGTGAGAAGCCGGGCGTTGGTGGCACACACCTTTAATCCCAGCACTCGGGAGGCAGAGGCAGGCGGATCTCTGTGCGTTGAAGCCCAGCCTGGTCTAAAAGAGCTTGTTCAAGGACAGCCTCTAAAGCCACAGAGAAACCCTGTCTCGAAAAAAAAAAAAAAATAAAATAAAAATAAATAAATAAAAAAAGTAAAAAATAAAAATAAAATAAATAAAATAAATAAAACATTATATAACTTAATTGAAAAAATTAAAAAAAAAAAAGTCAGGTGAGGAGTGACTAAGGAAGACATTCAACATCAGCCTCTAGCTTCCATGTGCCCATATACACATAGACACACTTAACATATACACATAGACACACTTAACATATTTTTAAAGTTTACAAATTTTTAAATAAGTGAAGATATGTTAGAAATTAGAGTTTTTAAAAATGTATATACAAGGTTTTTTCTTATAGAAATACAGCAGTCGAGGAACCATACTAAAGGGTCTCAGCATTAGGAAGGGTGAGAACCACGGCTTTAGGAGTCGGATGAGAGTTTGTAGTCTCACCTCTCCTCTAGTTTGCCCTCTTTGCTTTCTGGTTGTGGTTAAAGATGTGATCTCTTGGGCTGGAGAGATGGCTCAGAGGTTAAGAGCACTGACTGCTCTTCCAGAGGTTCTGAGTTCAATTCCCAGCACCCACATGGTGGCTCACAACCATCTGTTATGAGATCTGGTGCCCTCTTCTGGTGTGCAGATATACATGGGAGCAGAATGTTGTATACATAATAAATAAATAAAATCTTAAAAAAAAGAGAGAAAGAAATGCAGCAGTATAATTATGGGAAACAAATAGTGTTTTTCTGTCATCATTTCTCAACATATAACTATCTCTTTGGGTTGTATTGCATTAGAATGTTTTTTTCTTTTTTTTGTTTTTGTTTTTTTTGTTTTTGTATTAGTATGGATGAAACCCAGGATCTCAGGCATGCTAGGCGAGTACTCTAACCACTAAATTATGTCCCAGCACACAATGTTTGAAATGCTTGCCTTGAGTTCATTTGAGAGGGAGAAAAAAAAACATTAAGTTAATCTTGTATAAAATTAGGACAGAATTTCCAATAATTTTTGCAATGACCTTAACTAAATACACTTCTGCAATTTTGTACTATATACTTCTGCAGAGCAGCATTCTAATGTTGGTAATTATAAAGTTAGAATATTGATCAAGTCTGAAAAGTGTTAAGGATGCTTTACATCAGACAGTAGCAAATATTCAGCCAAAATCTAATTTTTTTGTGTGTTTTTTAAGATAGGCTCTCACATGGCCCAGGCTGGCCTCACTCAATTTGTAGTGGAATGTAGCCTTGAATTCCTGATTCTCATGCCTTCTCCTCCTTAGTGGTAGGATTACAGGGAAGTGTCACCATGCCTACATGAAGATTTAATTCTTAATGTAAAATGAGCATATCCAACTCATTACTACTAATCTGTTTTCCTTAATAAATGATAAAATTGTACCAAACTTATTTTAAAATTAAGTTTATGATTCATTTTCATTGAGTGTTTGATTTACAGGCCTGTTTTATATAGCTGTCTACCCAGACTAGCACTGTATTTCTGAGACAGAAAAAGGTTGCAGGTGGAAACAGTTTATGAAACCTTGATTTGGGCAATGTGTCCTATGGCTTCATAAGAGCAGAACAAAAGAACCCCAGCAGTGTAGCAAGAATTCTTACCTGCTTACCTTTTTTTCTTTTTTTAATTGTTTTGCCTTTACTTTTTTATTTCCTGTGTATGGAGTTTTGCCTGTATATGTCTATGTATCACACGTGTGTGATGCCAGAGGAGGCCAAAAGACATTGGATCCCCTGGGACTGGAGTTACAGACGGTTGTGAGTCAACATGTAGGTGTTAGGAAATGAACCCAGGTCCCCTGGATGAGCAGCAAGCATTCTAAACCACCGAGCCTTCTTTCCAGCCCCCAGTTGATGCTTAAAAAATAAGTGGTCCAGTCATGGTGGCACATGTCTGTAATCCCTGCACACTGAGGGGATGGAGCATTGGTGGTGCTGGGGCTTAGCTCGATGGGCTAGTGCTTGCCTGGTTGGCCTGAGTCATTAAATTGATGGAAATGCTCAAAGCTGGCTGCTAGGTAGATAAGAGTTTATTTTAGTATTATCCTTATTTGGAAAAATTTAGAATTTTCCGTAACAAAAGGGTATTTTTAGGTAGATGGATAGTGTCTTCCCACTTGAGAATTATTCTTTGTGTAGTACCTTTTGGTTTTCCTGCATTGTAACAGATTTGGAACATCGCAACCAATAAACTGACCTTCCTCAACTCCTTCAAGATGAAGATGTCTGTTATTCTTGGGATCATCCACATGCTGTTTGGAGTCAGCCTGAGCCTTTTTAACCACATGTGAGTCCCTGCCTCTATCATCGGAAGACTGTGTTATTTATTCAGATAACATTTTGCCTAAAGAAGTTATCATCACACCTTTGGAGAGGAATCAAACTCAGAACACCATTCTGTACTGTAGCAGCAATCTATATTATACAAACATTGTGGTCTTAAATGAGGCTTAATATTAGTTCCTTAACCGTTTATAGGTGCAAAAAAAAAGATGTTTGAAAAAAGACGCAGCAAGCTGGGCAGTGGTGGCGCACACCTTTAATCCCAGCACTTGGGAGGCAGAGGCAGGTGGATCTCTGTGAGTTCAAGACCAGCCTGGTCTACAAGAGCTAGTTCCAGGATAGGCTCCAAAGCCACAGAGAAACCCTGTCTGGAAAAACAAAACAAACAAAAAAAAAAAAAAAAGAAAGAAAGAAAGACGCAGCAATTTTCATTGGATTTAGTGAATTCTTTGGTTGTTGAAAATGATGATTGACTCAGGCCTTGTACCTGCCAGGTAGACACTAAAAATAGACCTAGACCCCAAGCCTAAGTGAATTCTTTTTTTAAAGTATATATATAAATTTTATTTTGAACTATGTGTATATGGGCAGTATGTATACATGGGTAGGTGCTCTCAAAGCCAGAGGCATCTCATGTCCTGGAGCTGGAGTCAGCTGAGGTTGTGAGCTGCCTGACATGGGTGCTATGAATTTGCACCTGGGTCCTCTGCAAGAGTAGTAAATGCTCATAGCTAATAAGCCATCTCTCCAACCCCATTACTTCTTCCTTGATGTGTAATTCACACAAAATTACAAATGTGTCCATATATTAGGTTTCCTCAGAGAGTGGTGGGGCTGGTTCTGAAGCGATTTGAGGGCCAGAAATTTGGAGGTGTGGTCTCTGTTGTCTCCAGTGCTTCTGGCTGCTACTTAAAGTGACAGAGCTGAGGGAACAGTGTGTAGAGAAATTTATTGAGCACTTCCGTCAGTGAAGGAGCACCATAGGCCTGTTCACTCTTAATATCATTTTCACTTTTCCTTCTTAGCTATTTCAAGAAGCCCTTGAACATCTACTTTGGTTTTATTCCTGAAGTAATTTTCATGTCCTCCTTGTTTGGCTACCTGGTCATCCTTATCTTTTACAAGTGGACAGCCTACGATGTCCACTCATCTAAGACTGCACCAAGCCTCCTGATCCACTTCATAAACATGTTCCTCTTCTCCTACCCAGAGTCTGGTAATGCAATGCTGTACTCTGGACAGGTATGTCAGCCCCAGAGGAGGGGTGTTGTAGTTGGCTACCCAGCTCACAAAGCCACATGTAACTCAGACCTGAAGAAAGCCTTAAAAACATTCTTCTTAGGCTTTCAATTCATGCTACCATATACAAAGTCAAATCACTCCCCCACCCCTCTTAACTTGGGAGGGCTCGCTATAATTCTACTATAAAGGGTGGAAATTGTAGAGCTGTAATCCCAGCATTCGGAAGGCTGATATGGGAGGGGCCAAAAATCTAGGCAAGCCTGGGCTACCAGTGATTTCCAAGCCAGGGTGAGCTACATAATGAGGACCTGCCTCAAGCAATTCGATGAGTCAAGGAGGGTGGGCAGAGTTTAGAACTACCATTTTAGGGGACAATTACTGGGCTTGTCATGGCACCTGCTCATTATTTTGAGAACCAGGTAATATTCACAGACCAGTAAGAAAATACTGTTTGGGGGGAAATTCATGCTGTAGTTGGAAATGGTGTGACTGGTGAGCTTTGTGAAGTGACTTGTCTCTTACTTTGCAGAAAGGGATACAGTGTTTCCTCATCGTGGTCGCCATGCTTTGTGTCCCTTGGATGCTGCTGTTTAAGCCACTGATCTTGCGCCATCAGTATCTGAGGAAGAAGCATCTGGTGAGTATATTTCTGTAGCCGAAGGTTACTAGACTTTTTCCCTTGTTCATGATCAAGGCAGTTTCAGAGGACATAATTAGTTGTGCACACATGCATGTATTCTTAAAATGAATTTGTGTTACATATGAGCATGAACACCAGGCCTGCCAATGTGAGAGAACTATGTATTTGTTGCTCAGACACCTGAATCCCAGCTTCAAGTGACTGGATTGGAGTGAATCAATCATGTTTTTAGCTCTCCTGCTCATGATGTAGTCATGGCCTCCTCAGCAGACCCCAGGCCTGGGCCTGTCTAGATGCAGTGTCAGCCCAAACAAGGTTAGAAGAGCCGCAGCTGGCAAACTCACTCATGTGGTTTGCCTGGGCAGCCACAGGACTGACATCAAGACATTTTTTTATTTTTTAATGAGACCATGATGCATTCATCTGGGAAAGGGGTCTGATTTGAAGCACAGTGATTGTTTTTTTCTTCTTTTAAAAAGCAGCATATGCACAAACAGGTGTTTACTTAATGTATGTGTGTACACCAACTCTACACACATACACACAAAGTTAAGCTTGCCAACTGTTCGGTACTGCGTGTAATTTCTGACTATCCAACAACGCTTACGTACTGCACTGCCTGGGAAGAAAACCCAAGAGATCTTGTTGCATGATTCCTATGGCTGTGAGATGATCCCTCCCTTTGGAGAGCAGCTGAGTTACAAGACCTCCTTCTCCCTTTTCCGACCATCTTCATCCTTTCATGTGCCCTCCATTCATCTCTCCCTGCCCCTCCCCCCTCTTTCGTTCTCTTCTCCCTTCTTCTTTTCTCCCATTCACTATCAGGAAGGGCAACCCGTGGAGGCCCCAGTCAGCCCAACCCCGAGCCAAAAGGGACTAGAGGCAGCATCGGCTGCAACAGTGAGTCAATTAACTCCAGCAAAGCCCATGTTTGTTTAAAGAGGTGGCAGACAGTGCGGCCGAACTCTTTTTTTAACGCTGTTGAGAGCGTGGGACGTGTGCTCTCAAGAAGTGTGTCCTTGTTGCTCACTGAGACGATGGCAGAGGAGCCTTCCACCTCTTAGGAATAGATTCAGGTATCATCTTTACCATTGGCCTACTAAGTTTCTGTTCAGATGTGTAAGTACAGTCCTCCCCTCGGGAGCAAAGTGCCTGCTGTCTCTCCTCCAGCCCCATCATCTTACACGAAGACAGCAGCTTTTGCACTCAGGCACTTTGTGTCTGTATTTTGCGACACATGTGGGGTAAGTTTTCAGCGTGGAGGAAGAGGGGCTTCTTTTCATCCATGTCTCTGTACTTGAGAGTCCATCTTTAAAGGTTACTTGGCCATGACTTGCCTTCCTTAAAGAAGGTCTGTCTCTCTTTCCCTTCCTGGATGCCAAAGCCCTTGTGTACTCAGCTGTTTTACTGAGCCACCCACCCACCCCCGTCACGTGTGTCTTCTGCATGCTGCACACCTGTCATAGCAACCAAATCCATCTGTCTGGACCTTCCCCTCGTCTGATACTAACTTTCAATCCAGTGACCACGCTTTGAACGTTAGGCATTTGAGCATTTGTCCCAAGAAACCGTTTCTTCACCAGAATCTTAGAATGCACTAGTACCTATGCAGTCCAGCATTCTAGATTTTCCATCTCACTGGTTGGGATTGGTCTATTTAGCATATACTCCTTTAAGGAAAGTGCATGCTTATGCCAGAGGAAACTCTCATCTTGCTATTTGAAGTTGTTTTCAAGTAGGAACCCATACTGCCCATCGTCGATTTTCTTTCTGCGTAGTTTTCTTGCTGCTATCTCAGCATTGCAAGTGCATCCGAGAAGTTCTTGATGCCTTTAAGTCTGGTGCCATCTTCCATGATAAACTCCACAGCAAAGCCCTGCTCATCTGGAAGCTTTCACACTCATGGTCTTCTTAGCCACTGGTCCCATAGCTGAATCTCTCCCTAGAGAGCAGCCAACAGCGTCAGGCTGACCACCCTCCAAGAAGGGCCCTGAACTTTTGTCCTCCAGGGGCTGAGGCTAAGAGCATAGATCTGCTTTTATTCTGCTCCTTGTCTCCTTGGTTGTTTCTGTAAGTGACATTAATCACTGTTCAGCTTTTCCTTTCTAGTCTTTGCTGATGTGTCTGTCATGTTGTTCCCTGTGCTCTCATTAGAGTCTAGCTGGGAGCTCCTGTCTGTTCTTGATTCTTCTGCTGGCTAGGAAAACCTTCAGAAATGGCCTCTTTTGGGGAATTCTGAATTCTGAAGCCTTCCTCCTCTACCCAGGCAGAGATACAATGGCGTCTCCCCTGCACCCTCTGTAATAAATGCTTAGAGTCCTCCCTTTGGAGGTATCAAGGTGCCATCTGTACCCAGTCTAGAAATGCTTAGGCTTCAGCAATTCCCAAACCCGATTGTGTATCAGAATCACCTGGTAAACTCTGAATCTGGGTAAAACAGAGGAGTTGAAGAAAAAAATAAAATAAAGTGGCCCATAATTCCATGGCCCTGATAATCTAGGAAGAGAGGGAGGGAGGGAGGGAAGGAGGGAGGGAGGGAGGGAGAAAGGGTACATTTTGGCTGGAGAACTGTACTAATAACCAGGAAGAGACCTCAGTCCCCATCATTATCCTCTCCAGGACATTGTTAACAGATAGGGGTTTTGCTTTCAGCACGTGTCTGTCATCTGTCAATACACGTGTAGACAGTATGTAGATAGTATGTGGACAGAAGGTGATTTATATTAAGAACTGATTTTTTGTTTGTTTGCTTGCTTGCTTGCTTGGTTTTTTGGGGGTTTTTTTGGTTTTTTTTTTTTTTTTTTTTTTTGCGTTTTTTTTTTGTTTGTTTTTTTGGGGGTTTTTTTGGTTTTTTTTTTTTTTTTGGTTTTTTGAGAAAGGGTTTCTCTGTAGCTTTGGAGCCTGTCCTGGAACTCACTGTGTAGATCAGGCTGGCCTCGAACTCACAGAGATCCACCTGCCTCTGCCTCCCAGGTGCTGGAATTAAAGGTGTGTGCCACCACTGCCGGCTCAGGAACTGTTTTAAACTGAATCACTCTTCCACCTCTTGGTGTATCTTAGAGGTTGTTTTCATAGTACTCCCCAGTCTTTTTATGGTACCCAGCGTTCCCTAGAATCAATTGGATATGCTGAAATTATGTAATCACCGTGATGATGGATGTGGTACTTGTTCCAGTTCTTTGCTATTATAAATAACAATGCAGAGAATATCCTAATACATATGTATCTTACTGGATTTTGTAAATATAGATGTCCTAGCAATGGGACTGTTGAATCTCCATGGGTGCAATGTGTTTTGTATTTTTGTGTACCCTTTGCAATGATTATACCACTTTTGGGCAATGCCTTCCTGTACCCCACCCTAGACCTACTAAGTACATACTTTCTGAGCATAGCATTTGAGAATCTATTGAAAACGTAACTTCCAGCTGGGATTGGTGGCAAACACCTTTAGTCCCACTACTCGGGAGGCAAAGGCAAATGGATCTCTGAGTTTGAGGCCAGCCTGATCTACAAAATGAGTTTCAGGACAGCCAGGGCTACACAGAGAAACACTTTTCTTGAAAAACCAAAAAAATAAGAAATAAAGAAAAGATAGTTTCCAAAATGCTCCTCCTGTAGCTGCTTCTATATCCGGCCTTGTAGGACAGCTACTATAAGAAAAGAGGAGTCTATCTACATAAACACTGGGGTCTGAACTGGTCAATGAACTGTAGTAAAAGAGGAGCTCCAAAAGGTGAAACTAAGGCAGGGGCCACAGGGAGTTCCCAGCCCTGTTTACACATTGTTCAAGCTCACTGGAAAGCTCGAGATGCAGGCCAGCAGTTCTCAGCTTTGGGTTGATAGAACCCATAGGAAATTATTCAGGGCTGCTTCCCAAGCCCCCTTCTTTCTGCCTAGAACCCTCTGGTGGAAAAGGGTCTCTGGTTTATTTTACACAAATGAGTGTCTGTTAGAATGTTGCTTTGTTTTGCTTTCTCTTCCCTGACCTAGGGAATCCTTTGTTCCTAGGCAGACCTAGTACATTTCTGGTAGAGGATGCTGGGAGCCTTGAGCTCCTGTTGAAAGCATATCAGACCAGGGTATACCCATCATGTCATTTGCTGTCATCTGTCCCCCTGTATCCCACTTGGAAAGTTTAATCTTCAGTTCCGGCAACACATAGGCCCTTGCAGACTTACAGATCCAGCTGCACTTGCTATGAGAGTGTGTTCGTGTTCAGCTCCTCATTCCTGCAGAACTCTGTTAGTGTTGACCAAGGCAAGGTTGCTCCGTCTTGGTGTCGCCGGATGAGGTGGTAAATTCAGGCTGCCCCTCGTGGGGGCCAGAGCGGTGGTGGTTGGGGTGGGACAGTTATTGGTTTTTACTTAGCTTGTTCAATCAGTGGATGTTGCTTTTGTTGGTAGGATGTATTCCTCTCTGAGGATTGTATGTACTAACCATCACCCTTCCCCACCTCACAGAGTGCCACATTAAAGCCCAGGCGAACACTACTCTTTCTGTTCATCTGTGTAGGGAACTCTCAACTTTGGTGGGATCAGGGTGGGCAACGGACCCACAGAGGAGGATGCTGAGATAATTCAGCATGACCAGCTCTCCACCCACTCAGAGGACGCAGAAGAGGTAAGATGCAGTGGTATGGGCTTCCTCTCCTACCTTGGGCAGCTCTAGTCTTGTTTTCTAAGAGGCTTACTCAATCGTCTCCTTGAAAAATAAAACCACTAATGATTGGCCACTGTCAGGCCTGCTTAGGCTGCCACAGCTTGCCCTGAGGGGCCTGCTCTAATCTCCAGGTACAGCCACAGAGCCCGTGCAGCTTTGCTGTGCTCGTCTTGAATTCCGCCTGTCTGTAGTCTGCTGCATGTGACCTCAGTTACTAATTGCTCTCCTCCTCTCAGGCAGCACCCAGCATCCCACCTCTTGTTACCAGAAGCCTGGGAGCTTTTAGAATAGCTTCTCCATCCTTCGATCCTCCCAGGAATCCTTAGTCACACTGCTTACTGGCTGTACTCAGTATTTCTTTTTGAGGCCTACCCCATCAATACATTCTTGATCCAGGGGGTTTTGTTTGTTTTTTTTAAGAGCTTTTAAAAAATGTTATCTGTCTTCTTTTTAGAGTGAGAGTGGAAAGGAATCAGGCCAGCTTAGCCTTTCCTTTGACACTTCCAATTTCGGCTATTTAAAATTCACTCTCGTTGCCTGAGCACTTGTGGCACAATGCATCCAAACTGAACTAGTAATTCTCACGTATTCATTATATATGTTTAAAGCAAATAAAACAGCAATGAGCGACCCAGGCTGCGTTTTTTCAGTCTAGCCACTTTGATTATTTTTGTGTGTGTGTTCTGTTTTGTTTTTTTAACTTCAAGCATTGGGGGGTTGCCTTTATAAATATGTATCTTAAGTCTGTGATTCCCCTCTGCGTAAATGCTAAGGAAGAGTGCCTCCAGCACCTCATCCCCGGTAGCCATCCTCTCCCAAAACAGTCCGTAGCACGTGCTTATAGCTTGTGACCTTGTGTGTGGTACAGCTTCCCACTAAGTGTGAATTTGTGTTTTCAAGCCTACCGAGGACGAAGCGGTAAGACCAAAGCCTTTGTGTCTATCTGGGGCTTCTCTTTTTCCCATCCTTGTGCTCACTCTGCCAACCCCACTGCACCCTGGGGCCACACATGGCGCCATGCATCCTGCATCTCATTGGCCATTTCTAACCAGTTTGTGAGCCTGCATTCTGAAACAGTTCATCTCCATTAACTGTATCTCATGTCGGTCACCTCTGTCCTTGTGTTGTTGACTGCTGATCTAATACCTCTGAAACTGGCTTTGAAGAAGCTGCAAGTGATGTCTGCACTGGCATTCTTGAAGTCACTGCCTGCGTGATTAAGTTCCATGCGCCTCCACTTCCTCTCCTGTGATGTGCTGGTTGCTCTGCCCCCTGGGGTAGTGGTCCCCACCCCGCTCCTCTGAGTGCTTGCGAGCAAAGCTGACCCTTCCTCCCTGTCTAAGATGCAGCCAGCCTCTTCCTGCTGCCGCATCAGCTTGGTGGTGCTTCGACGTAGGGCCACAAGACCCTTGCTTGGAGTCAGTTCTAGCTTCACATGACCTGGTTGACAAGTGAACCGTTTTCAAAATGAGCTTTGCCTCTTAGGTACATTTAGGGAAAGGCAATCCATCTGCATGAAAGGCCTTCATATGTTAAGTACATAAAGAGTCACAGAATGGAGAGAAAGCTAGTGTTCAGGCCACATCTAGAGTTACCAGGCCTTGTAGCTCGGCAGTCGTTCGTTTACCAACATGTAGATGTTGGATGGGTTGTAAAAGGCCTTCCTGAACCTTTCACATCTTCCCCCAACTCTCTCTAACACGCCTGTACCTATGAACCGTTCTCTTCCCTCTCCTGGTCTCTCCAAGGGGCAGTGCATGGCTGTGGGAGAGCCTTTGTTGTTCTATGTCAAAACAGGCAGTGTTTGTTCTCCCTAATGGCTGGGGAGGCTCTCTTGCCTGCATCAACAACAACCATCACTCGTGGACCAGGTGTCTGTGCATACTTGCTGGCTGAGCCTCCTGGCATGGTTGAGGGGGGCGATGAATGGGATTCCGTGTTGCTGAGGAGCCTAGCCCTCTCCTAGTATCACCACCTCCAACCATACTGCTTTCCAAATGTCTACCTCATTATGTACCAGTACCTTTATCACCGGCAGAATGTTCTAGTCAACTATCTAGTTCCAATGTCCTCATTTATAGCCATGTCCCTAGGAGGTGGACAGTCAAAGAAGATAGGCTGTGGTGTGTATCCCCACCACCAATCACACTCAGGGAATTATCTCTCCCTGGCTTCTTTGTCCAGCATTGATTGTCCACAGCCAAGTTTAGGTAACTGACATTTATATAATGATCTCAAACAAAACAGATTCTTTTTTTTTTTTTTTTTTTTTTTTTTTTTTTTTTTTTCCAAAACTTTTGTTATTGTAAAACAAAACAGATTCTTAAAAAGCAGTACAGCCTACTTCTGTAATTCCCTACATTGCTTGGATGTAAACAAGTGTTTATTCCAGGCAGGGCAATTGCACCCTAGTCCTAGGAGACAGTCCAGGTCCAAACCAGACCCAGGCTGCTTGCTATCTGGGAAATTTTTGAAGCTGCACCATTCCACAAGGGTCAGCGGCCCCTCCCCCTGCTGTGTCTTCTCACCAGCCGCTCTCATCAGCTCATTCACACTCATGCTCCTGTCTGCACAGTCACGTGTGTGTGTGTGTGTGTGTGTGTGTGTGTGTGTGTGTGTGTGCACTGTGTTTAGTGCTATAGAAATGGAGAGACGAAAACTAGTTCTTGCCTTTCAGGATCTTCTAGACAAGGTAGGGAGACAGTCTGGAGACGGACACCACGATGGATGTATGGCCAGGGTGCTGTGGGAGCAGAGAGGGCACCTGACAGGATTCCCTTAGCTTCCTCCTCCTGAGTTGAGGCTGGCCAAGCAGGGGTATCTGGAGGCAGGGAGCGAGGAAAAGGAGCAGACCCACTGCATCTACAGCGTTAGAAAGATGAAGGCCAAGCCCATGTTCAGCAGCGGTTCAGCTTTGCTGGGGCTGATGTGGGAGTTTGGGAACTCATGAGAGGACGGGTGGGCAGAGCGCGACAGTAGTTGTTGCCTCGTTTTGGCAACAAGGAGCGTCAGAGTAGTGAAGCTGAGGTGCATGAACCCCAGGAGTAGAGCTGTAGATTACACTGGGAGGGAAGGGCCAAGGCCTGGAGGCGAGGGCATCCTGTAGTGATATAACTCAGGGAGGGAGCTGGAAGGGAAGGCTCTGACATGGGTGTGGGACAGTGAGCGAGTGTTGGTGGGACCAGAGGACAGATTGCTGTGTTTCATCTGGTGAGGTTGAGTCTGAGGTCTGTGGTACACCAGGAGACACAGCATAGCCAACGGAGGGTGGGCAGCACAGAGACAGGCGTTTGTGTGAGTCACTCCCAGGGTGCCCAGTGAGCCCGAGTCAGTCCTACAGGAAAGACTTAGGGGTGAGGCTGTGACTCCAGGCATCTTGGAATGGCAGCAGTGCAGAGGAAGGAATGTCAGGAGGAAGACCAAGAGACAAGAAATATCTTAGGGAGCAGCCCCCAGTGACAGACACCACAAAGTACAGCCAGGGTACAGTGTCTGTTAGATTTAACCCCTGGGAGATGATGCAGCCATCTTAGAAAAGCCATTCTGTCCGGGCGTTGGTGGCCCACGCCTTTAATCTCAGCACTCGGGAGGCACAGGCAGGTGAGTTCGAGACCAGCCTGGTCTACAAGAGCTAGTTCCAGGACAGCCTCCAAAGCCACAGAGAAACCTGTCTCGAAAAACCAAAAAAAGAAAAAAAGAAAGAAAGAAAGAAAAGCCATTCTGAGGAGAAAGGGTAAAAGCCAGGGTGAAGAACAAATAGGCCAGACAGAAGCTGGGACAGAATGCAGAACGAAGGTGGAGAGTGACCTGCTGTCACATCGTCACATCTTAGTTGCCAAGTGTGTTGGGCCTGTGATGAATGACAGGAACCTTCCAAGAACTGAAGGTTTCCCCCTTCTCTCCTTTCCACTGGGATGGGCATAAAGTCTCCTATAGCCCAGGCTAGCCTAGAACTCACTATGTAGCCAAGGATGGCATTGAACTCTTCACCATCCTGCCTCTGCCTTGCAAGTGCTGGGATCACAGGCCTCCACAACTATACCTGGCGCCCTTTATTTTATTTTATTTTATTTTATTTTTGTCTTATGGAAAATGCCCTTTTTCTCACATAGTATATCCTGATTGTGGTTCTCCTTTTTCAATGAGAAAAAACTGGGTAGAATGAAACACCGAAAGCACTGTACTTTCGCTGAGCCCAGGAATAAAGACTGGGCCTCCTTGGAGCTCTAGACTTAATTCCCCATTACTTCATACAGCAGGGGTGGGCTAGTGTTCTTTTAGCATTGCAGGACTGAGGTAGCTCTGGATAACATAACAAGGGCTCTCATTTTCAGAGTGCGAGGCTTACAGAGAGAACAGCCCAGAAAGTTACAGGTTAGACAGAGATGACAGGAAGTGAGGCATTTCCCCAGGGAAGCTTGCTGGAAATGACCCCCTCTTCTTACTGGCCCTACTCTGGTGACTTGGCAGCCCAGCCCCTTAATATAGTATGGAGACTATAGCATAAGACAGGCCGAGACATGAGGATGTGGGAAGCTGACAGAGCCTCGGGAGCCTGGAGCTGGCCATCCTGTGTTGGGCTTGGAGGAGTAATCTTACAAAGAAAACTATGGCCTGGTCTATGGCAGACATTTGATTTCTCCACCTGAGCTTTCTAGAACATACCAAGTTCAGAAAACTGCTCCTAAAAGGTAACTGTGGAGAATTTCTTCCAGACCTGGAGCTCTATCCACCCCGCTTCTGCGCAGTACTGAAGACTTAGGGCGCTAGGCAAGTGCTCCCCCACTGAGCTCCATCCCTAGCTCCCAGCACAGTTGTTTTGTTGCAGTTTTTTGGAGACAGGGTCACATTATGCTGTCCAGGCTGCCCTCAAGCTCATGATGCTCCCACCTCAGCCTCCTTAGTATGAGGATTATAGCATGAGCCACCATGCCAGCCACACCTACGCTATTTCCCGAGTAGCTCTTCATGTAGGGGTTTGTGGGCGTTTGGCAAAATTTCCCTAGGTGACCTTTTCAGAAGCCACAGAAGAAGGAAGTTATCTAGGTCTCAAAAGGCTAGAAAGAGTAAATAAGGAGGCTTCGGAGCTCAGTGTGCAAGTAGCTTCCTGCCCAACAGTGAAGCCTGGGAGCTCCCTGCCTGCCCTTGCCATATTCCAGGCACAGGTGCTCCACTGTAAGGCAGGGATCCTCTGGGCCTTGTCCACCGGCAGGTCCTTACAGCCTCCAGTACAGGTGGGATCTAGGCTGAGTACACCTGATAGTTAAATTCAACTTGCAATTCAATCTGGAGTCACCTGAGACAAGCCTCTCACCGTGTCTGAGAGGTTATCACTGTTGGGCTAACTAAAGCGGGAAGACACAGCTTAAAAGTAGGTGGCACCATTCCCTGGGCTTGGGGTCCTGAACTGAATAAAAGGCAAACTGCACCTGCATCTATTGCTCTCTGCTGCTTGGCTGTGGATGTGACCAGCTGCTTTTAGCGCCTGCTGCCTTGGCTTCCCCAACATGATAACTACACCTTGAACTGTGAGCCAAATAAACCTTTTCCCCAAATCACTTTTATTGGGGTATTTAATCACAGCAACAGAAAAATAATAAGATAATAATAATCATTCTTGACTCAGTATATCCCACTGTGGAGATCAGATCCCATCAGGGTGAGAAAAAATTATTGAAAAGAGTCTCATTAAGGTACAGTATGTAGAGCTGGAGAGATGGCTCAGTGGTTAAGAGCACTGTCTGTTCTTCCAGAGGTTCTGAGTTCAATTCCCAGTACCAACATGGAGGCTCACAGACTCCTATCTCCTGTTCCAGAGGATCTAATGCCCTCTGCTGGCCTATGTGGGTGCTGCATGCACACGTGCACAGATACCCATGCAGGAAAGACACTAATAAAATAAGACATAAAATAAAAATAAGTCTGGCAGGCCAGTGGTGGCACAGTCCTTTAATTACAGCACTCAGAAGGCAGAGGCAGGAAGATCTCTGGGTTCAATGCCAGCATGGTCTACAGAGCGAGTTCCAGGACAGCCAGAGCTACATGGAGAAACCTTGTCTCAAAAATCCAGTAAATAAATATGTCTTTAAGAAAGAGCAACATAAAACAAGAATAAAAAGATAGGCATTTCCTGATGCAGTGGCATACACTGCAAAGCCAGTACAAGAAGGCTAAGGATGTAGGGTTCCAAGTTCAAGATCAGCCTGCCACTACACAGTGAAACTGTTTAAAAAAACAAACAAAAAGATACAGTGTCGTGTATTGAGAGGGTATTAGGGTGCCCTAGTTGGAAACTAGGCCAGGAAGGCTTTTGCTGAAATCTGTTTTCAAATCAACACCAGTACTCAGCCCCTCTACAGGTGAGACGTCAGCTATAAGAAATATGTCCCTTGCCCTGGCGTGGGCTCCGGGGGCGACTCCCCTCCTGCACACCCCCCTCCTAGCCTGATATCTCCTCTATGGTTTCCTCCCGTGCCAGTTTGACTTTGCGGACACCATGGTCCACCAGGCCATCCACACCATCGAGTACTGCCTGGGCTGCATCTCCAACACTGCCTCCTACCTGCGACTGTGGGCCCTCAGCCTGGCGCATGCACGTGAGTGTGCTCTCTCCAGGCCCCACCCCCAACGCCCTTAGATTAGTGGAGGCTGCCTCAGCATGGAAACCCATAGAGCTTCTGTGGAGTCAGTCCAGCTCCCGAATCCAAGAGTGAGTGCAGATAAGGTGTGTCCACTCTTACTCAGGTTAGCTGTTTGGGGTGATGCTGCCCAAACTGCAGGAACACAGGTTTCAATGGGCAGCGCTGGCGCATGCCTTTAATCCCGGCACTCTGGAGGCAAAGGCAGGTGGATCTGTGAGTTTGAACCCAGCCTGGTCTACGGGGTGAGTTTTAGGACAGACAGGGCTAGAAATTCAGTTTTCAAGGAACTCTCCAGGTAAATGGTGGCAGAGTAAAATGAAAAGATCACACTCTCCTCAACTGCACCTTGTGTCTGCCCCTTCCTTCCCCAGAGCTCTCGGAAGTACTTTGGACCATGGTGATCCACATCGGCCTGCATGTTCGGAGTCTGGCTGGAGGGTTCGCACTGTTCTTCATCTTCACCGCCTTTGCCACCCTGACTGTGGCCATCCTGCTGATTATGGAGGGTCTCTCAGCCTTCCTCCACGCAATCCGGTTACACTGGTGAGTGGCAATGTGTCTTAGGTGGAACAGCGTAGAGCAGGTCACCTCCTTGGTCACAGGGAGTGGACAGTGCTTCTTGTACCGGAAGTGTGCCTGGTAGGGAATGGAAGCTGGCCCTCTCCAGCTCAGTTGAGGGTATCAAGGTGCCCCAGTTAGGCCAGGAAGGATTTGGGGGCAGTCATCGCTGAAATCACTTTTCAAAGGCAACACCAGTACCCAGCCCCTCTACAGGTGAGATGTCAGCTATGAGAAATTAGTCCTCTGCCCTGGTGTGGGCTGCGGGAGGGGGGGGACGGGGGGGGGGGGGGGGACGGGGGGCAGGAAGGCCTCAACTCCTCCAAAACCCCCCCTACATTTCTCTGTGTAGCCCTGGCTGGCCTGGAACTCGCTCTGTAGACCAGGCTGGCCTTGAACTCAAAGAGATCCTTAGGCCTCTGCTTCCTGAATGCTGGGATCAAAGGTGTGCACCGCCACCACCTGGCTTGTTTTCTTTTTTTAAATAGGGTCTCACTATATAGCTAAGCTGGCCTCACACTCACAATTCTCCTGCTTCAGCTTCTCAAATGTTAGGGTTACAGGCAAGGAATACCATGCACAGCTGGTTTGTGTTTTGCGTGTGAGGGTGTTTCTGTGGCCTTGATTCCTGTCTTTAGAGCGTTGGACTGGACCCCATCCAGGAATTGCTAGAGCACACTCTCTCCCGACTTTGTCCCTTTACTGTGTCACTGTGCCAATGCTTTGGTAGGATGCTAAGTACACTAAAGCAGCTTTTCCAAAGGTGGCGTAGCAGTGTGGAGGTGTGCACTGTCTGCTCTCCTTAATGTGCTGGGTGATCCTTCATGCTCTATATGAAGAAATGGCTCAGGAATCAGAGAGCTAGAGGCTGGGCTGTCACTATGACCTCAAACGTGGGTTCCCAGATTGAGCAAATAAGAATACAAAGAGAGGTCTAGCGACATGAGTCGGTGTGTTAAAGCATTTGCCACCACACCTGATGACTTGAGTTTAGTCCCTTGGAACCACACGGTGGAAGGGGAGAGCCAACTTTGTAAGTTGTCCTCTGACCTCCACGTGTCCACTCTTGTACTTACAGACATACACATACACTCAAGATAAGCAACTATAATTTTTTGTGTGACTATTTCTCAAATGTGCCTGAAATGCAGCAGCCACACAACAAGCCAGGCAGCCTGGTTTCGCTGGTAACTCTGCCTCAGACTCCTCCTTTCAGGGCTCCATTTACTCCTCTATGTTGCCATTCTCCTTTGAGGGAAGAGTCAGTCCTGGCGTTGGCTGTAGATGACCCACACAAACACCCCCACCACACACCCTGAAAGGCTCACACACTCACTGGCCCTGCCTCAGAAACCCCTAGATGAGGTGATAGGTGGTCTCTGGGCTCCACAGAGCTTTGCACAGCCCAGACCCTGAGGGGCCTCTTGCCAGTGCCCTCCTTTCTCTCCTGGCTCCATTGCAAGTGTCTAAGAGTCTCCTGTGGTTGTGCCCAGTTACGGGGAAGAACTGAGGCATGTTAGGGGGAGGCTGTGGCTGACATTAGCCCTCCCTCCAAAGCTGCCTTAGGAGGCCTGTCAGTAGGTCAGTAGAAGCTGCTGTCTCTGAGCTGGCTCTCCTGGCTCCTCTTCTCCCAGCCTGTGGTTTGTTTACTGGGAGCCTGGGAGGTTGGGAGGGCTGTGCACTTTCAGCCACTGGCTTGGCACTCTCCCCTCAGGTTATCAGCCAGGTCTCCCAGCACACTTCCTCAGCTGCTCCAGTGAGGGAATGTCTGTAACCAGCCCCGGCGGCAGTGACTCACTTTTTCTTGCCCTCTTGGCCTCCGTGCTTTGTGCTTTCCTGTTCTCATCTGTGTCTCCTGAGCTCAGGACTTGAAGGAAGAACGACAACCCCTCTGTAATTGCAGCCTGTGTTAAAGGTGCTTCCCATTCTGGGCAGGGGAGGAGCAGTACAGGTTAGTGTGAGGAGGGTGCCGGCCTTAGGTCTCACTTCCAACAGGAGCTGATGCAGTTGGGATGCCATGTTTTGTTACCAGGTGAATGCCTTCATCCTCGGGCTCTCTGAACATGGCTGTGTCTCATGTGGAGAGAGAGAAGATGATAACCAGGTGGCAAAGTTACTGTGAGAACACAGGAAATAATGCACATACCAGGTGGCTCTACACAACCCTGACATACCATAATAGACAATGGCTGAAAAGTAGGATGCTCTGTAGAGAGAGACCTGGCTGGCGTGCCCTACAAACAAACTTCACAAACAAACTTTTTCAGCTGGTTAGAGAATGGGGAGCCCATAAAGGAGGCAAGTGCTGCCATCTGGATGCCCTTTAGATACAGTCTGCAAGGATCGGGCTTGAGGTAGATGCCTCGCTTTCATTTGTCTGTGTGGCAGTTTAAGTATTGAGCAAGAGGGGAAGCAGAGGAGGCCTTCTCATGCAATTTTCAGAATCCTGGCTTTGGAGGGATGGGTGGTGCCACATTTGAGACGTGGCACCACCACTTAAAAGTTTAATTGGTGCTCGTGCGCCCTCTACTGACCCAATGCAGAAGCGCACAAAGGGCTGCAGGGACCTCAGCATTGTTGCCCTCTGGTGAGGGGTGGGAAGGGTCCTTGCCAAAATGGATAGTGCTGTGCTGGTTTCCAGCACCAGATGCCAGCATCTTCACACCTTTCTTGTCACCCCTGGTGTTCCCCTGATAAATAAGCTCTGCGGGGTTTTTGGTGGGATGGAGAAGAAAAACGTTTAATCTGATTTGATTTGATAACATAAACCACTGGTCTGACTGTCATAAAGCCAGTGACATTTGAGAACGTAATTTCTGTCTGCTGGGTTGTGTCTCCCCACCTACCCTGTAAAGTGTACTTGGCATTCATACCCACCATAATCAGACACAGAGTGGGGATCTGGCTATAACTGGCCATCAGAATGAGGCATAAAGACTGAAGCCTGGGACAAGGACCCCTTCTGTAGAGTCCATATGTGTGTCCATGCTCACACCTGTGTGCTCCAAGGTGGGCTGAATGGGGAGACAGAATGGGGAACAGGCATTCGGAATGGAGTGACACTGCAATAAAAATCCTGGGGAGATAGTCCCAGGCTGACAGCACCGCCTGATACCAAGCCATCAGAGAGATGTGTGTTCATCCCCAAAGTGTGAAGGCAGAGCCAGAAAAGCACCTGCCCCAGCCTCTTCTAAAACTGCCTCCCTCCATCACCCTCCACCAGGAAGGGAAAAGGCCCCACAACCCCTTCCTCCTTCAGCCAACCCCAGAAAGGGGGCCCTGGAACATGGCAGGAGCTCTCATGTTTGCCCTCGAAGCCCCTGGCTCACTGGGTGGCCTTTGTCAGGAGCTGAAGCTGGAAGGGGTGATGGAGAAGGCAGTCTGTAGGGTTCTAGGTGCACTTCAGAGGCTGAGCAAACTGCCAAAGAGCCTGCAGGGGGCAGCACCTCTCACCCTGAGAGGCAGCTTTGGTCTATGTTCTCAGGAAGCACATGTTTCCCTGGGTGGGGCAGCCCAGGGAAGTTGTTTCCATCTCTGTACTGGGAGCTTGCGGTGAGGACTGTCGGGGCGGAAGGTAAAGTCCGATTGACCTCTAGACAAACCCAAGATGGTGGCCTCATATGTGAGGCCCTGGCCCCCATCCTAAGCACTGTGGAAACAATAGCCATCTAAGCAAAACTTAGGCTACATTTGCCCTGTTTGAAAATTAGAGTTGTCTGTCTGTGTGGTTAGCTGGCCAGGGAGTCATTCAGAATGCATCCTTAGAACTGGAGGCATGGGTTGGAACCCTGTGATGGCAATCTCGGGGTACACAGTATAGAATAGAGGAGAGACATACATCTTTTGTTCAGTTTAGGAATACCCTTGGTATACATGAATGAGGCCTACCCAACATGAACCCTCCAAACCCAAGGGAAGTGAGAGAGAGCAGGAGACTAGCCACCCTCCCCCAGAGCCTGCTCTGTACCTGGGACTTGCAGAGAGACATCTTAGAAGCTAGTGCAGGGGACAAGGTGAATCTGGGCCCTGGAATCCTTCAGCTGATGTGAGCTCAGAGTACCATTGCTGGGTTCCATTTCCCCGGGAGGCCTTGGGGTCTGGGCCCTGCCCCTGCAGGATGTGAGGGCAGGAGAAAGCACTGTATGATCACTTCTGCACAGAAAGTTCTTCTACTTCTCCCAGCAGGGACACCCATGGCTCTGCCACTGTGTCCTTCAGCAGTCACTGCAGAACTGAGGGGCCTCTGCTGTACCTCTAGCTGCCTCCCACCCACTGTACTTTAGTTGCGTGATAGAAACCCTGACTAAAGCTGAAGGGTGAGCTGGGCAGCTAGACTAGTCTCAGGCCTTGATGCTTCTTAAAGCCTTTGTCACCTGTCCCCTAGAGCCCACCACAGCCCCTTCCCTGCTTGTTCTTGCAAGAGTCACAGGGTGCCTAGGGGAAGCTATGCCCCAGGGCAGCTTGGCTTTTTCTGGATCAAGCATGTGTGTTTCTGCCCATATTTGGTGGTGGTTTGGTTGCTGGGTTGGCGGGCTGCTGGCCAGGGGAGTGTTCGGGAGGAAACAACCAGGCAGTCCTGCTCCTGACTTCTTCCTGCCCCTCTGAGTTGGAAAAGGCCCCAAAGAGACCAGCAGGAATAGCTGCCAATCTGCCTGGGAGGGGAGTTAAGGCCCTGTTTTTCCTTTTCGTCTCCAGAGAAGAGTTCTTTCTCAGATGTTTTTGTGGCTGGAGAATATTTTTGCTTTGAGAAGAATCACCCCCCCCCCAGTGTCCACTTTCAGCATTCACTCCCAGGTCTCCCTTCTTGGGTGGGGGGTGGCTGCAATCATGTTTACCCAGAATTCCTCCGGGGGCTTCCCTTAGCAGGCGCTGTGTGAGCTCCTACCAGGAAGGGGCTGGGGGATGTTTCTTCTTCATTTCCCGGCTGATGTCACACTGTACTGTGCTGTTACACTGAGTGCCAGTACGCCTAGTAGGGCAGAGTGAATGAAACGTGAGGACAGACAGCCGTCCCCGGGCACCCAGTGCTGTGTCTTGCTGAGGACAGGCCTGGGCTCAGAAAGCAGCTCCTGAGGAGGTGACAAGATGGTCCTGTGGCAAAGCTGCTGCCACACAACCTGGTGACACATGGAAAAGTGGAAGAGAAGAACCGATTTCACAAAGTTGACCTCTGACCTCCCCACATAGCAAATTTTAAATGTTATTTTTAATTTAAAAGATAAATAAAGCCAGGCAGTGGTAGTGCACACCTTTAATTCCAACAATCGGGAGGCAGAGGCAGGTGGATCTCTGTGAGTTCCAGGCCAGCCTGGTTTACAGATTGAGTTCCAGGATAGGATCCAAAGCTACACAGAAACCCAGTCTCGAAAAATCTAAAGAAAAAAAAAAAGATAAGTAAAAACAGAGGTCATACAAAGGTGTGTCTTAGTTAGGGCTTCTAAGCAAAGCAACTTGGGAAGGAAAGGGTTTATTTGGCTCACACTTCCACATCACTGTTCATCATTGAAGGGAGTCAGAACAGGAACTCAAGCAGGGCAGAAACTTGGAAGCAGAAGTTGATGCAGAGGCTGCCTGCTTTCTTATGGAACCCAGGACCACCAATCCAGGAATGGCCCCACCCATAATGGACTGGGCCCTCTCCCATCAATCATTAAGACAATGCCCTCCCTATAGACTTGCGTACAGCCCAGTCTTACAGAGGCATTTTCTCAGTTGAGATTCTCATCTGTCAAATGACCCTAGCCTGGGTCAAGATGACATAAAACTACCAAGCACAAGGTGGAAGAGATAGAGTGAGAGAACCATCTCCACAGGGTTGTCCTCTGACTCCCCCACACATGCTATAGCACATGTATGCTCACGAACACATATTATATACATACATACATCCTAAAGTAAAATGAATTAGATGAGAGCAGCTCCTGGGCTGTGAGCAGCAAGCCACGAAGGGGTTTTCTCAAGCTCACCCAGGAGCGCAGGGCTGGAGGGAAAGCAGTACAAACGTCTGAATAGGGCTGTTCTGGGCCAGCCATGGTGACATTCCCTGTAGTTCCAGCTATTGTGGAAGCTAGGGCAAGATGATGGCTTGAGCCCAGGAGTTCAGGGGCAGCCTGGGCAACATGGTGAGACCCTCTTTATTTGTTTTTGTCGGGAGGTTTTCGAGGCAGGGTTTCTCTGTGTAGCCCTGGCTGTCCTGGAACTCATTTTGTAGAGCAAACTGGCCTTGAACTCAGAGATCCACCTGTCTTTGCCTCCCAAGTACCGGGATTAAAGAAGTGTGCCACCATCACCCAAGTTTATTATTTTATTTTTAAAATATTGGTTTATGTCTGATTGAGGGCGTGGAGGCTAGAAGAGGGTGTCAGATCTCCAGGAGCTAGAGTTACAGGAAGTTGTGAGCAGCCCCGTGAGTGCTGGGAACCAAACTCAGGTCCTCTGCAAGAACAGCAAGTGCTCTTAACCACTGAGCCATTTTATTTTGGTTTTTGACAGGGTCTCACTATGTCGCCCTGGCTGGCCCTAGATCTGCCTGCCTTGTCTCCTCGTGCTGGGGTGAAGTATGTGCCACCACTCTCAGCCCTATCTCATTTTCCCTGAGAAATGGTGACTGTACTCTTCTTCTTTCCAGGGTGGAATTCCAGAATAAATTCTATGCCGGGGCCGGTTTCAAGTTCCTCCCCTTCTCCTTTGAGCATATTCGGGAGGGGAAGTTTGATGAGTGAATCCTCAGCAGGGCTCGTGCCCAGAGCAGCTCCCCTGCTTGCCTCCATGGTGATTCTCTGTGTTCCTTTTGCCTGTTGGTTGTGATCCCTGGGTACCAGGGCGTTTGTGTCACCCCTGCCAGCCTGTCCCCGCCGTGAGTCATTTAGGTAGGTGCTGGCCTTCCCTGGGTCTCCACCCCAAGCCTTGTACGTAATGTAGATTTCCTAGGGAGACTTGGATGGCTGTGCCTGATACCCATCCATCCCAACAACACCAGTCTTGGCCTCCTGGCCTCCGGACAGACAGCCCTATTCTACTCCTTGCTGGTGAGCCAACCTGCATAGTCACATGGGTGTGCAGAGCCCTCAGGATGAAAGGGGTCCCTCTTCAGTCCCGAGTTCTTGGTCACACCTAGGAAGAGGATCAAAACTGGTTTCCTCCTAGTAGGGGACATGGTTTATGGAATATATCCCACTCCAGTTAGCAGGGACAGTCAGGAAGATGCTCTTGTCAGCCTTTGCCCACGCCTTTCCAGTTAGTATTAAGAGGGAATTCAGATGGCCCCATCTGGGCCATCTTCTCCTTGTCATCCCAAAGGTCCCAGGATAACCAGCACCACCCTCCTCTCCAGCCCTGTTGGCCCAGCATAGCATCCCTGGAAAGGGAAAGTCTAATCAACTTGTGCACAGGGCTTCCCGACCTTAGATTACCTTCTACCCAGTCTGCATGAATGGGCCTTGCCCCACACTACATCCCAGGGCAGAGGTTAAAATTGGCACTCTCCTAGTGCAGCTCTGAGACCTTTCCCGTCCTGATCATGATGTCCTGAGGCTGTGGTCAGTAAGGTTGGTTCTGCCGGCAGGCCTGCCTTGATTTGCCCACTGATAGTTCCTCCCAACTCCCACAATGACCCCAGGTTTCAGGAGTCGAATCCCTGGCAGGAAAGGTCAGTGCCATTTACAATTTGCTAATTGAATGTGCCTGACTGGTAGGCTTCTGGCACAGGTGTGGTGAGCGCTGTTCAGGCCTGCCAAGCCCCTGTCACCCACCTTGTGTACCCCTGGCTGTGGATCTCAAACCCTTCTAATCATGTGCTGACCCAGCAGCCCTGGCTGCTCCCTCAATTCACCCACTGCCTTCTCTGGGAGGCAATGCTAAATCAGCAAGGCCCATCCCCTCCTCCCACCCTGGCACCCAGAGAGCTGCTCAAACACTTGCCCAGGCAGGGCTGGCCCACTGTGACCTTGTCCTGAACCCCTCTCCTTTTGTGTCCAGTTTACATGAAGACCTTTGCTCTGTTTACAGTGAGGCCTGAAGCTGAGCTCTTTGTCAGAGGCCCTGCTCAAAGCCTTCTGTTCAAACATTCTCATGCTGAATAAAGTGTGTTTGACTCTCACACACACTGCCTGTCTCTGAGTGCACAGCCCTCTTGAGCCCATCTGGTGCCCACACCCTCTCCTTCCTGCCAGTGTTTCTGCTTTTCTTCATCATCTAAGGCCACAGTTGCCATGGCCCTGGCTGGGCACTGAGTTTGTGAAATTAGCGCCTTATCTCAAGTTTCCCAGGCGCCTTCCCACTGCTGGGAGCCAAGTTAGCTTTGCAGAGCTTGGGCAGCCTTCATCTCTCTTCCCTCCACTGCGCTGCCCAGCCGCAGAATGGGGGCGGGTGTCTGCTCCATGTGCCTTCTCCAGGGCTCCGTGGCCTGGCTATTTTGAGCCCTAATGCCATTGGCCTTGGTGTAAGTAGAGGCTTGGCAGACTATTCAGGGCAGCTGGAGAATGTGAGGTGCTGAAGTAGGCAGGCTATGGGCCAAAGAACCAGCAGGCTGCAGGGAGATGGCTGGGTGGGGAGGGCACTTCATCACTTCCTTCTCTGAAACATAGACATTCTTTCTCTGCACATGTCCCCCCTACACACACACACACACACACACACACACACACACACACAGAGGAATGTAACACCTGTTTCTCCTGAGGGCCAAGGAGAGGCTGGGACATCCTGTTCATTCTACCTTTTTGTTTTTTGTTTTTTGTTTTTTGTCTTGGTTTTTTCAAGACAGGATTTCTCTGTTTAACAGTCCACTTTGTAGACCAGGCTGGCCTCGAACTCACTGAGATCTGCCTACCTCTGCCTCCCAAGTGCTGGGATTAAAGGCATGCACCACCATTGCCAGACTTCATTCCATCTTCTTATCCTACCGTAGCCTAAACCCCTCTCTCTAAACCAACAGGACACCTACCTGGGGAGCAGTACTCCCCAACTCCAGATGGCTCTTCAAATAAAAGGCCTCAAGGAAATTCTGTTGATGAACTCTTTTTTCTGTTTTGTTTTGTTTTGTTTTGTTTTGCATTTTGTATTCTTTGTATTTTCTTTGTTTTTCTTGTGTTGATGAATTCTTAATCTCTTGCTGTTACCTACTCAAAAGCCTAATTAGAATAGCAGAGTTGAGAATTCAGGATTAAATCCTAATTTATAGTCGGTGAATTTTAGACAAAGAGGCCAAGATAATTCTATTAAGAGACCTGGGCATGACACTGTCTGTCTATAGTCCCAGCATTATAGGGGTGAATGCAGGATTGGAAGTTCAAGACCAGCCTGAACTACATGAGGCCCAGTTTTCAAGACAACACAACACAAACTCCTTTGTTTTCATTAGTGCTGATACAACTGAGTGTCCTCCTGCAAAGGACACGTTTGGATTGCTCCATAACCATAACAAAAATGAAATCAAACACCAAGCCTGGGCCTGTGAGCCCAGCACTGGAATGGAAGGATCTTGAGTTTGAAGCCAGCACATGCTGTATACACAGATCATGTCTTAACCACCTAAAAATGAATTAAAAGTGGATCATAGACCTAAATGGAAGAGTTAACACTATAAAACTCCAGCCGCCTTCTAGCGAACCAGTGACTCTCACAGTGAGTAACAAGATAAAAATGCAGATGTTAGCCTTCAAATCCTTGGCAAGCTCTCGTGTATCGAAGGCCGTAGTCAAAGCGCCTGGAGACAAAAAGATAGAAGAAAGGCCATAGCCCGATACCCAGGCAGTCTGAGCCGTGTCATCCAAGGAAAGGGTAAAAGACCCTGACACTGTCGGAGTGAAGGCAAAGGCTCAGAGATAGCTGTCTCCAAGGAGTGTGTGTCGGGGCTAAGGGAACACTGTCGCAGATTTTCCTGGCCAATGCTTCTCCAGCCTACACTCCCCTCCCCACAGAAGCCTCATTTTGTGTAAAGATGGATGCTTGCTTTCCCTTTCTCTAAAAAAGAAGAAAAAGATGGGGCCCCCACATGCCTGCAGTCCTGATACTTGGAGTTGGAGCCAGAAGGAGCAGAAGTTGAAGGCCACCCTCCCCCTTGCCTACACAGTGAGTTTGAAGCCAATCTAGGCTACATGAGAAACTGTCAAAAAAAATTAAAAATCTGGTAAGATGACTCAGCAGGTAAAAATACTTGCCACAATCACCTAATGGCCTGAGTCAGGCCCCCCCAGGCCCCATATAAAGTTGAAAGGCGAGGAGGAACCTCCCACCACCCACCTCCTACGCCCCATCACACACAATGACAATAGTAAAAATAGCTTAAAATTTAGAATAAAACTTAAGCCCAAGCCAGGTGTTGGTAGCACACGCCTTTAATCCCAGCACTTGGGAGGCAGAGGAAGGCGGATCTCTGTGAGTTAGAGGCCAGCCTGGTCTACAGAGTGAGTTCCAGGACAGCCTCCAAAGCTACAGAGAGACCCTGTCTGGAAAAACAAAAACAAAACAAACAAACAAAAAAAAAACTTAAGCCCAGCAGAGGGGGCACACACCTTTAATCGCAGCACTCAGAAAGCAAAGGCAGGTGGATTTCTGTGAATTCAAGGCCAGACTGTTCTACAGAGTGAGTTCCAGGACAGCCAAGACTACCTAGAAAAACCCTGTCTCGAAAAGCCAAAAAATAAAAAAATATTTTGTTTTGGCTATATAATGGTAGGAGGCATGGCAACAGGAAGTTGAGAGATCACATCTGTTATTATTATTATTATTATTATTATGTATCCAACATTCTGCTTCCATGTATATCTGCACACCAGGAGAGGGCACCAGGTCTCATAACAGATGGTTGTGAGCCACCATGTGGCTGCTGGGAATTGAATTCAGGACCTCTGGAAGAGCAGTCAGTGCTCTTAACCTCTGAGCCATCTCTCCAGCCCAAGAGATCACATCTTTAACCACAACCAGAAAGCAAAGAGGGCAAACTAGAGGAGAGGTGAGACTACAAACTCTCATCCGACTCCTAAAGCCGTGGTTCTCACCCTTCCTAATGCTGAGACCCTTTAGTATGGTTCCTCATGGTGTCTGACCCCCAACCAAAAAAATATTTTCATTGCTAGTTCATTACTGTGATTTTTCTACTGTTATTAATCATAATGTAAATATATGTTTACCAATGGTCTTAGGCAACTTTTGGGAAAGGGTTGTCCGTCGCGACCCACATGTTGAGATCACTCTCCTGAAGGTTCTGTACATCCCAAACAAGAATACTAACCGCTATCCAGGGACCAAGTGTTGAAATACATAAGTCTATGAATGACATTTCTCCCTCAAACCATCACAGTATATAATCTGAATTAACTAGGAGGACGGTGGGGCCTAAGACTTAGGAGGAAATGCCTCCCGGGTCTGGCTGATGGGAACTGGGGAGAAAGCAGAGCCCAAAAGTCCTTAGCTAGAATCCAGAAACTTTGGGTTTCCTCCAGCCAGCTGAAGATGGGTTGACCCGGCTCTGGGCTGGGAAGTTATGGGTAAAAAACAGGTTCCATGTGCCCGCCTCTAAGGGGCAGGCATGTCCTTTTCCCTTTACGGTTCATCTGCGGAGAGTCTGTGCCCTGTCCAAGGAATACCCTCATCCTGAGGTCCTAGAACCAACCTCATCAGAGAGGGTGGCCGCGGATCTGCTGGGAGGCCCAAGCTTCACAGGAATGGGAGTAATTCTGTCGCTGCCTTCATAAGATGGAACCGGCTGCTCCCCGACACCCCATCCCCGGTCCCAGTCCCCGTCATCGTCCTGTCCCCAGTGAGATGTAGAAGTTACAGCAGGGCAGAGCTTCCCGCAGCCTCTGCCCTGCGGTACAAGCAATAACCCACCTGCAGGGGCCGCTCCCAACCTACCCGTCATGTGCTGGGTGTAGGCTGCCCCCTGGTGGCCACACAGGGAAAGTCATTCCTCACACCAAGTGGTTAGGGTCGAATCTGGAAGCAAGCAGATTGGGGTTATTCTGGAGTGCATAAGCAGAGGGACAGGGTGGTCAAAGACTAAAGAAAACAGAGAGTTGAAGAGCAAGCCAAGGCCCCAGGCAGCTTGCTTCACACATTAGTGGCAGAGTAATAAAGCCTGTCACACGCTAAAAGGACCAGTATTCAAAGCCCTGTATACAAGTGAGTTCTATGCCAGCCCTGGTGGTGCATCCTAGGTGTCAGCACTGAGGAAACTGCAGCAGAACTACAGCAAATTTGAGATCAACCTCATCTACATAGAAAGCTCCAGGCCAGCCAGGACCATTCAGTGAGATTATCTCAAAAGGAGAGGGAGAATAGGGAGGGAGGAGAGAGAGAGAGAGAGAGAGCCAAGAACCGGGAGATGATGGCACATACCTTTACTCCCAGCATAGGCAGGCAGATCTCTGAGTTCAAGGACATCCAGGGCTACACAGAGAATCCTGTCAAAACAAAAAACACCAGAGGCCGAGAATGGTGGCCCCCACTTTTAAACCCAGCACTTAAGAAGCAGATCTCTATGAGGTCAAGGCCAGCCTGTGCACAATGAGTTCCAGGCCATCCGGAGCTTCATGGTGAGACCTTGTCTCAAAAGAAAAAGGAAAGAACTTCATGAAGACAAGATAGTTCAGTGTTTAAGAACGCTGGCTGCTCTTCTGGAAGACCTGGGCTCCGTTTCCAGCACCGTCGTGGCAGCCAGCCAGCCCCAATGATCCTCCTGTCTCTGCCCTTCAACAGTGCTGCCCTTGGAGGGAAATGGAAAGGAGATGTTGTTGTTAGCAGGAGGTTAATTGGTCAACCAACCCTCTAGATGTCCCCAAGCTGCTGAAATAGTCCTTTAACAACGGCTTTTTCTAAAAAGTGCTTGGGTCCAGAAGGTAACTCCAAGCAGGCTGGAAGCCTGGCAAGCCCATCTTCAGTTGGGTTGATGTTTATACTTTGGGTCAGCTGCTTTTGCCGCCTGTTAATCTCTCCTTGAGTAATGAATAATTTATCTCCTCCTCCTTCAAGACAAAAGGCATACAGGTCAGACTTGTTTGGTTTTTGTTTGTTTGGGATAAAGTCTCAATATGTAGCCTTGGCTAGCTTTGAGACTATGCTGTTCTTGAACTCACAAAGGTCTGCTTTGCCTCTGCCTCCCAAATGCTGGCATTAAAGGTGTGCACCACCAAGCTCAGCTGTGGAGAGCACAGCCTACGGGCTACAGAGTGTTCACTCTGCAGTTAGGATGTCCACACAAGATTTGTGTTTTGGATGTGCTCGGTTTATTCACACAAACATTCCTCACAGACATCTCACCAAGTGGGGAACATTTGTTTGGGCGGAAACGATGCAGGGTAATCTTTCCCGGTGCTTCAGAAGCTTCCAGGATCTACCCACATCTGCCAAGTCCTTCAGCTTTAGCAAGAGGAAGGATGGCACAGAGGGAGGTTCAGAATGTCCCTCACAGTGTAGGCCAATGGCTAGTGCTGTTAGGTGAAACTATGTGGGCCCAGCAACAGTGCCTCAAGTTAATGGTTGCTGAGGCTATGGCCACACACAGTCTCATTCAAGTCCTCTTGCCGATGGGTACCCATCTAGAGGCTAGAGAAGCTGTGTCTCAGAGCACAGCATGGGCAGTGCCATCCTAGAGACTGTTACCAAAATTCCAATCTCTCTATCATTTCACTGGGCAGTAACTGCACTCTGAGGACTCAGAGCTTGTGGAGCTTGGGGCTGTTTCGCTAGCAGCACAGCAACACCACCACTGTATATCAAGGCTTGTCCCTGGATAGGTGTATCTGAGCTTGCTTTTGAGGCCTAGCATTTCTCAGTATTCCAGGGCACATAAAATGACTTTTGAGTCATTTAAAAACTATTTAAACAAAATAGTTTTTAAGCTATGTCCCTAACACCAACTAAAATGGTTTTTTGGGTTTTTCATTTTGTTTTGTTGGTCTTTCAAGACAGGGTTTCTCTGTGTAGGACTGTCCTGGAACTCTCTTTGCAGACCAGGCTGGCCTCTAATTCACAAAGATCCACCTGCCTCTGCCGCCTCCTTTGTTAATTAATAAAACTGTTTGCCAGTAGTGGCATCTGCCTTTAATCCCAGCACTCAGGTGGCAGAAGCAGGCAGATCTCTGAGTTTGAGGCCAGTCTAGTCTACAGAGCGAGTTCCAGGACAGGATTCAAAGCTACAAAGAAACCCTGTCTCAAAAAATATATATATGTATATATATATATACATATATATATATACATATATATATATTTCCCCCCCCTCAGGAGCCTACTACTCCCTGCCCCCATTAAGTGCCCAGCACCCTCTCCCTGAGCTCTGAGTCAGGCAGCCTGAGCATTCCAAAAGCTTGGAAACATCTTCTGGGCCCCATACCGAGCTCTGGGAACTAAGAGTTTCCGTTCTCCTCCTCCAGCTGCTGCTGGGTCACTTCCTCACTTCCAGGCTGTTGGGTAAAGTGACAATCCCTGTTCTGCTCCCAGAGCCCCGTGACGGTTAGCTGGAAAGACTGCTAGCCAAGCTGGGCTCATGTGATCACATTTCAGTTCCTCAAGTCCCCCAAGCTAATCACCCTCCGGGCCCTCATCTATCGCTGCAGCCCGCTGCCTAGAAAGCTCCTTGTAAATTCCTACCCATCCTTGGGTTTCAGATAAAATGTCCCTGCCTCTTGGGAGAGCTTGGTGTTCTTCACAGCCTTACAGCCCGGGGTGAAATTCTTTTCTTTCTGTGTGTATGGAGTATGTGTGCTCGCACACGTATGTGTGGGAGTGTAGGTGTCTGACACACACATGATGGTCAGAGGGTTGACCCAGAGCTCGGGGAAAGTAGTATCTCCTGAACCTTCTGCCATGCTGAGCATCTGATCAGAACTTCAGGGCTCTGAAGAATTGGAAATGTTGTGTGTCCAGAACCAAGTTCTTTTGGGCCATCTTCAGCCTTTTCAATAACCATTGTTCCCCGCCCTCGTATGTTCCTGACCCAAAGCCTTATGACATTAGGCACGTTGGAAAGTACAGACCACTAGTTTGCCTTTGGAATGCATTAACTTAGCAGACCTCCAGCTTCCATCATCCCAGAAGCCAAGGATGTCATCCGAAGCCTGTGACATTTCCCAGGTTCACTATAACCCACCTTTGATGTCTCCATCGATGTATTTGAAGTGTCTTGTTTTTAAAAAGTATCTTGAGGGGCTGGAGAGATGGCTCCCTGGTTAAGAGCACTGGTTGCTCTTCCAAAGGACCCAGGTTCAGTTCCCAGCACCCACATGGCAGCTCACAACTGTAACTCCAGTGCCAGGGGATCTGACACCCTCACACCAATGCACATAAAATAAATTTTAAGACAAGTGTCTTCAGCCAGGCGGTGGTGGCACACGCCTTTAATCCCAGCACCCAGGAGGCAGAAGCAGGTGGATCTCTGTGAGTTCGAGCCAGGACAGCCTCCAAAGCCACAGAGAAACCGTCTGGGGGGGGGGGAAAGGAACAAAAAAAGTGTCTTCATTTATGATTTTTCTTTGCTATGTTACTGTACAAGCTTCAGTAAATCATTTCCAGAGTGGAACATGGAATTTGGGGTGACCTAAAACTGTTCCCAGACCATGGTCACTCATATTTGGCTCTAGAATAAATTATCGCGGTCCTTTTGACGTGACAGTTGTGGTGTGGTTTTGTGTCCATAGAGGAGAGTCTCGGGTGTTGCTTTCTACTTTAAGACAGAGTCTCTCTTCCTTTTTTGTCACCTTGTACACCAGGCCAGCTGTTTCCATCTTTCATCTCACCGAACACTGGGATTGGAGACTCTTGCTGGGCCCGCTTTATGTGGGTCCCGCGGATTCAAACGCAGGTCCTCAGGACCTATCCCCTCACCCAGGGATATCCTTATTTGGTTTCCAGGTCTCTGGCCACAAATGACATCTAGGACCATCCTTCACCCGTACGACAGACAGTAACAGTGGTAATGTCTGATACGAAATAAAATCCAAACGCACAGTTATTAGAGGAGGGGTTGGAGATAGAATTGAGCGGTAGAGCCCCTGGCTGGCATCAATTCTCATCACTTAAAAGGGTGGCTGGCTGGATGAAAGGGAAGCGACTTGCAGAAGTAAGCGGGCTGCGCTCCCAAGGGCCGGGGCATGCGCAGCGTCCCATCTGGCCACGGATGTTCAGTGGGGTCACGCGCGCGGTCAGCAGACCCGCAGGGTCTGGGTCCGGAAACCAGGTCTCCGGGCGGGTAGGCTGGAGCCCAACTTTCAGGCCACGTGGCCCGAAGTCCGCAGCCGATTGGATGCGGGCAGCCCCGCCCCTGGCCCTAAGCTAGGTATTGGCTGTGAGCGATCCGCCGCAAGGTTGGCGTCATGGAAGCCGCGGTCCTGGCCGTGGCTCTGGGGTTCCTACTCCTGGCCAGGGGCTCGGTGGGCGACGAGGCTCGGGAGACCGAGGCCGTACGGCAGCTGGTGGTCCGGCTGCTGGGACCCGAGCCGGCGGCCGATTTCTTGGTGTCTGTAGAGCGCGAGCTGGCGACCGAGGCGGGTCTGGACACCTACAAGCTGAGCGGCGGCGGCTCAGGGATCCCGGTGCGCGTGCGCGGCTCCACGGGCGTGGCAGCCGCCGCGGGGCTGTACCGCTACCTGCGCGACTTCTGCGGCTGCCAGGTGGCCTGGTCCGGCTCTCAGCTGCGCCTGCCGCGGCCGCTGCCCGCCCTGCTCCAGGAGCTGACCGAGGCCACGCCCAACAGGTATTGATGCTGTTGGTCCCACCTGGCTGGGGCAGCTGGCAGTAGCATCGGGGCACTCACCATGGGTGAGAACCACCACGCTGGGGTGGGGACAGCCGCAGCTACAGACGCCTGGAAGACCGAGAAGGAAGTGCTGGCTCTGGGGTCCCGCCACTGTGCCTTCAAATCTTAGCTCCCGTCTAATAGGTGCGTGTTTTTGTTTTTGTTTTTGTTTTTTTGCAAAGCCACTTAGCTTCTCAGAGCCCCAGCTGCAAATAATGTCGCCCGCCGCGCTGTTGATTGAGAATCTGCACGTGATGGTAGAATTTCAAAGGCGGTCTCGTGATCCATGCATTCCATGCCCCTTCTTTGACCCCTCTGAAGATGCTGAGGAGCGACCCTTCCCGAAGCCCCGGGCCTTTATTGTAGCACTTGTCACACTGCTGGGCATGATGTGTTCACACATCGGCCTCCCCCATGAAATTGTGGGAACTGGGAACCCACTTAAGGGCAGACCGATTTTGTCTTTAGGGCACTGACATCCAAGGACACCCCACGATGCACAATAGGCGGTCTGGACATATTGAATGTAAATGAAGTTATGTATCCACAGTAGCTACTAGACTATGGATCCCTGAGGGAAATCCCAACAGTATGTGTTGGATTTACCTGGGTGGACCTGGAATGAGCCACTTTGAGACCTTTGCCCACCATCCTGTGTGTATGTGTGTGCTGGGGGTAGTGTTCCAGAGCCAGGATGCCTCTGAGATGTTCCAGGGGGATCGGTGAGTGAGACACTCCATGTGTCCCTATAATGTGCCCTTGCCTGCAGGTACCGCTACTACCAGAATGTGTGCACGCACAGCTACTCCTTCGTGTGGTGGGACTGGGCTCGCTGGGAGCAAGAGATTGACTGGATGGCGCTGAATGGCATCAACCTGGCACTGGCTTGGAGTGGCCAGGAGGCCATCTGGCAGCGGGTTTGTGCCAACCTGGTCCCTCACACTTACCTGCCCAACTCCCACACCCACTGGCCCTGGGGGACTGAGGCTTCCTCGGGTGGGACAAACCATATGGGTACTTACTGTAGATAAGACTCCAGCAATCTACTGAAATTGGAAATGGTGGTACATGCCTGTAATCCCAGCACTCTGGTAGAGAGAGGTAGGAGGATTAGAAATTCAACGTTGGGGGTGATGATTTGCACCTTTAATCCCAGTGCTCAGGAGGCAGAGGCAGACAGATCTCTGTTCAAGACCAGCCTGGTCTACAGAGCGAGTTCAGGGACAGCCAGGGCTACACAGAGAAAATCTGTCTCTAGAAAACTGGAAAAAAATTTAAGGTCATCTTCAGCTATATAGTGAGTCTGAAGCCAGCCTAGGAAGACCCTGGTTGGGGGTGAGGGTCAAGTCTCCTCCACTTCATTAGTCTTGGCCATTCTCTTCCCTTTAGCCAAGCTTGCTCAAAGACTCTCTTAGTTTGCTTCCTATTGCTATAATAAAACACCATGATCAAAAGCAACTTGGGAAGGAAAGAGTTCGTTTGGCTTACACATCCCAGTCACAGTCCATCATTGAGGGACACCAAGGCAGAACTCAGGCAGGGCAGGACACTGGAGGCAGGAGAGGCAACGGAAGAACACTGATTATATTGACTTGCTCACTTTGCTTTCTTATACATCCACAGCCACCTGCCTGGGGATGGCACTGCCCACAATAGACTGGCCCTTGTATATCAACCTTCAGTCAAGATAAAGCTCACCTACAGGCCGATCCGATGGGGGCATTTTCACAGTTGAGGTTTCTTCTTCCCAGTTGACAAAAGTAAAGTTGACAATAAATAAATAAATAACTGGCACACAAAGAAAGCCCCTTTGGGCCCCATATCTTCACCCATCCCCCAAAGGTGACACATTAGTGCATTTTCCTACACAACAGGTCTGTTTGTCCTGGACTGTGAGCTCCAGGCTGGATTCCAGTTCTATCTCAGTAGTCGTAGTAGCCAGCAGAGAAGTGATGAGTGTTTGCTAAGTGATGGCTGGCGAGTCATGTGTTTATAGGTGTGGGGGCTCTTCCTCTTCTACAGGTATACCTGATCTTGGGCCTGACCCAGTCAGAGATTGATAAACACTTCACCGGTCCTGCCTTCTTGGCCTGGGAGCGCATGGGTAACCTGCACACCTGGGGTGGCCCCCTGCCCCGCTCCTGGCACCTCAAGCAACTCTACCTGCAGGTAAAGAGCAGAGAAGGAAAAGGCAGAATGGGTGCTCAGTAGTCACGTCAGGTTCAGGGATGTGGTGCTTAACTAGCCTTGGGCTCTTAACTGGTCCACAGGAAACTTCCCTCACTGAATAAGTAAGCAAGGGCCTCCCCCAGCAGAGGTCCCTTCACACTGACCTCTGACCTCTCCCCTCCCCCCGCCCCCCTCTGCCCCAGCATCGGATCCTGGACCGGATGCGCGCCTTTGGCATGATCCCAGTGCTGCCTGCCTTCGCAGGGCATGTCCCCAAAGCCATCACCAGGTGAGACGCTCCCTACTCAACTCAAAGGGAAAAGGTTTGCCCTGAAAAGCATGATGTGAGCACTGAAACTCTAAATGTTGGTGTCACTTGAGTCCTGGTCCTGCCATCAGCCACTGCCTGGAGAGATTATTTGACATCTCTGTGACTCACTGTTCTTGCTTGTAAGATGGAATCATTGCTGGGTATGATGGGATACTCTTCTGGTCTTTGTATTCCGGAGATTGAGGCGAGGACACCACCAGTTCCAGGCCAGCCTGAACTATGTAGAGAAACCATATATATGTACACACATATATTTACACACACACACACACACACACACACACACACACACGGGGTGAGGGCCGCTGGAGAGAGGGCTCAGAGATGGTACCACATAGCAGTTCACAGCCTCCTGTAACTCCTGCTCCAGGGAATCTGATGACCCTTCAGGCGCTGCCCACACGTACTCACCTACATAAATGCAAACACTCTTACGCATAAAATAAAAATAAATGAATCTAAACGTATTCCCAAATTGTTGGCATCAAACTTAGGAAGCTCACCAAATTTTAAAAGGTTTTAATTTATTTTTATGTGCATGGGGTTTTCACCTTGTGTGTATGTCTGTGTACCACACTCATGCCTGGTGCTGGTGGAGAACAGGAGAGGGCATCAGATTGCCTGAGGCTGGAGTGACAGATGGCTGTGAACTACCCTGTGTGGGTGCTGGGAATCAAACCTGGGTCGTCTGGAAGAACAGCCAGTGTTCTTGTTTGTTTGTTTTGAGACAGGGTTTCTCTGTGTAGCTTTGGATCTTGTCCTGGAACTCACTCTGTAGACCAGGCTGGCCTCGAACTCACAAAGATCCGTGTGCCTCTGCCTCTCGAGTGCTGGGATTAAAGGTGTGCACCACCACCACCTGTGTTAACTGCTGAGATATCTCTTTAGTCTCTAACTTTTTTTCTTTTTTTTTCTTTTTTGGTTTTTCGAGACAGGGTTTCTCTGTGTAGCTTTGGAGCCTATCCTGGCACTCCCTCTGGAGACCAGACTGGCCTCCAACTCACAGAGATTCGCCTGCCTCTGCCTCCAGAGTGCTGGGATTAAAGGCATGCGCCACCAACGCCCGGCTCAGTCTCTAACTTTAATTTAGTGTATAAATATATAATTTTATCATTTAATAAAAGAATATTTAAAGAAAAGGAATGAAAAGTTACTAAGTAATGGCCAGGTGGTGGCAGCATCGGCTCATGCCTTTAATCCTAGCAGTGGGGGGTGGGGGGGTTGAGGCAGGTGGATCTCTGAGCTTGAGGCCAGCCTGGTCTACAGAGTTGAGTTCTAGAACAGCTAGGACTACACAGAGAAACCCTGTCTCAAACAAACAAAAAAGTCACTGAGTAACAAGGTAGCTCCCTCACTTGCTGTCCTGCAAGCCTTGGGTACACATAGTGCAGGCGACAGAATGCTGGTGAATAGCTGCTCTTGCCAGTGGCCTAGGGAGTGTGTTGGTCTCTATCCTTGTTTTGTATTCTGTCTTCTCTTCTGTGGCTGGATCGACCTTCAAGGTCCAGATGAGGCTCCTTCCTTGTAAAGCCTTGCCTGCACCCAGGGATCCCAGTCACACCTGGAAGCACCTGGCTCCCACCACTGACAGTCTGTGGTACCAGCTGCATGGCTACCCCTGTGTCTTGTTTATCAAGCAGTGTGAACCGTCTTCTTTTCATTCAGTGAACATTTTCCCCAGTTGTCTATGGGTGTCAGACCCAGTCCTGTGCTAGGTCCCTAAGGTGCTCATGGCTCTGTCCTTCAGGAGAGATAATTGGTAGAGGAAGATAGCAGAGCCTTTTAAACAGGTGGCCTCTTAGGGACCTGGAGGAAGAACCAGGTGGCTAAGCCTTAGGGGTGGAGAAAATGATGCCAGGCAAGGGACATAGCATGTGAAAAGGTGTGGGAGTGTGGGAAACTCAGACATATTACAGAAAACCACAGACGTGACGCCGCTGAGGGCGATGAGGCCAAGTCAAGCACTGCGTGGGCCTCCACCAACCCTGAGCCTTTTTCCCCCCCTAGGGTGTTCCCACAGGTGAATGTCTTCCAGTTGGGCAGCTGGGGACACTTCAATTGCTCCTACTCCTGCTCCTTCCTTCTGGCCCCAGGAGATCCTGTGTTTCCCCTCATCGGGAGCCTCTTCCTAAGAGAGCTGATCAAAGAGTTTGGCACAGATCATATCTATGGGGCTGACACCTTCAACGAGATGCAGCCTATCTCCTCGGATCCCTCCTTCCTCACCGCAGCCACTGCAGCCGTCTATGAGGCCATGATTTCGGGTACAGTGGATCAAACCCCCTGGGACATCAGGGAGAGGGGCTGGGTGGGAGGAGGACCCGTGCCCTGGTGACACCACACTTCCCAGCTCAACAGGGCTTTGTGCACATGTACCATCCCACTTACCCAGCCACGGTGCTGAGATCTGGCTGATACTGGCGAGTAACCTATGACCTAGGCCATATTCTCACCCTCCCAGTGTTTGTTGCTCCATCTGTGTAGTGAGACCCGATCATAGGACAGTGTGCCTGGCCTTGTGAAAAGGCCATTGAGCACAAACTACTAAAAAGATTTTAAGCTGGGCGGTGGTGGCACAAGCCTTAAATCCCAGCACTTGGAAGGCAAAGGCATGTGGATCTCTAAATTCAAGGCCAGCCTGTTCTACAGAGTGAGTTGCAAGACAGCCAGGGCAACACAGGGAAACTCTGTCTCTAGATGGATGGATGGAGATTTTTTTTTAAGCCAGGCGTGATGGTATATGCCTATACCTCCAGTGTTTGAGAGGTAGACGCAGGAGGATCAGGAGTTCAAGGCTAGCCTGGGCTACTTGAGACCCTGAGCTACTTCAGAAGGCGGTGGTGGCAGCAGCAAGATGCCTTGGTTTTGTAAAGGCATTCAAACCTAAAGACCTGTGTTTGATCCATGCAACCCACACAAAGATGGAAGGAGAGAACCAGCTCCTGTGACTTCCACGTGAGTTCACACATACACATCATACACACAAGCAACAACAATAATAAAGGTTTTATTTGGAACACATGCATGCCTTTAATTTTAGTATTCAGGAAGCAAAGGGCAGGTGGATCTCTGTGACTTGAGGCCAACCTGGTCAACACAGTGAGTTCCAGGAGGAGGGATGATGTAGAAAGACCCTGCCTCAAAACAAAACAATAGCAACAAAAATTTATTTGGTATCTACCTCATTGTTGAAATCGGTCATAAAGGCCAGAGGCTACACATCCATCCTGTCCAACAAATACGAGGCCAAGACACCTTCCTACCGCTTAGAGAAGAGGAGGGGCCCAAGTGAGGGAGAGCTCTCTGAGGGGTGCTCTGTCACCCTGAAAGGGACACAGTGGCTTAGGCTTCCCTGAGCAGCACTCTCCAAGCATGATCAGAAACCAGAGGCCCAAGCCTCACTTTAGAGCCTGCCTTTTTTTTTCTTGTTTGTTTTTGTGTTTTTTTTTTTTCAGGGGGTGGGGGGGTAGAGTGGGGTGAGTGGTTTCCAGACAGGCCTTCTCTGTATAACAGCCCTGACTGTCCTGGGACTTGCTTTGTAGACTAGGCTTGACTTGAACTCACAGAGATCTGCCTTCCTCTGTCTCCCAAGTGCTGGGATTAAAGGTGTGCATCACCAAACTCAGCCCCTTATTTGTTTCTGAGTTGAAAAGTTACAGCTAGGGCAGTGGTGGTACACGTCTTAATCCCAGTACTCAGGAGGCAGAGGCAGGTGGGTCTCTAAATTCAAGGCCAGCCAGGTCTACAGAATGAGTTCCAGGACAGCCAGAGCTGTTACATAGAGAAACCCTGTTTGAGGTGGGGGTTACACCTATTTATTTGTATGTATGTGTGTAGGCGTGTCACCCAGGGTGCACATGTGGAAGTCGCAGGATAACTTGTAGGAGTCTATTCTGGATGGAACTCTGGGTGTTAGCACTAAGAACCTTTGCTAGCAGGGCCATCTCACAGACCTGAGTCTCCACCATTTATCTCACAATGGAGATTAGATGTGAAATTTTAATCTTTTAATCATGAACCCTTGGGAAACACACTCAAATGCTATCCAAACCCAAATACTGCCCTCAAATATGAGGGTTCTCAGGCCCAAACCCTGCATCTCCTGATTGAGGGGGCCCAGAATTTGGGGCCCAGGCATCCATGTCTTAAGCTTTTTGGGTAGCTCTGATGTCCAAGAAGCTAGATAAATACTGTCTTGGAGGAGGTGGGAAGAGGAGAAGGGTCCCAGTGATGGCAGAACCGCAGGGCGATCAGTCATGGGGGCTGATGTGACCGTGATAATCACCTCATTTCCTCGTGGGCAGAATAGGGTCCACATCAGCCCTTCTCTCATCTCTCCTCTTTGTCCCCCTCCCCACACTGCAGTGGACCCTGACGCTATATGGCTGCTCCAAGGCTGGCTTTTCCAGCACCAGCCTCAGTTCTGGGGCCCTGCTCAGGTCAAGGCTGTACTGCAAGCTGTGCCCCGTGGTCGTCTCCTGGTTCTGGACCTGTTTGCTGAGAGTCATCCCGTTTACATGCAAACAGCCTCCTTCTACGGCCAGCCCTTCATCTGGTGCATGCTTCACAACTTTGGGGGCAACCACGGTCTGTTTGGAGCCCTGGAGGCTGTGAACCAAGGCCCCAGGGCAGCCCGCATCTTCCCCAACTCCACCATGGTCGGCACTGGCATAGCCCCTGAGGGAATCGGCCAGAATGAAATGGTCTATGCTCTCATGGCTGAGCTGGGCTGGCGCAAGGACCCTGTGCCAGATTTGGAGGTCTGGGTGAGCCGCTTCGCCAGCCACCGATACGGGATGTCCCATCCAGATGCAGAGGCAGCCTGGAGACTGCTGCTCAGGAGTGTCTACAACTGCCCTGGGGAAACGTACAATGGGCACAACCGAAGCCCGCTGGTCAAGCGGCCATCCCTACAGATAAATACCATAGTCTGGTACAACCGATCAGATGTATTTGAGGCTTGGCGACTGCTGTTAACAGCTGCTCCAAACCTGACTACCAGCAAAGCCTTCCGCTATGACCTGCTGGATGTCACCCGCCAATCGCTGCAGGAGCTGGTCAGTTTGTTCTATGAGGAGGCAAGGATCGCCTTCATGAAAGAGGAGCTTGATCTCCTGCTCAGGGCTGGAGGCATTATCACCCGTAAACTCCTACCTGCTCTGGATGAGCTGCTGGCGAGCGACAGCCGCTTCTTGCTGGGCACCTGGTTGAATCAGGCCCGAGCAATGGCTGTGAGTGAAGATGAGGCCCAGTTTTATGAACTGAACAGCCTCTACCAGCTGACCCTGTGGGGGCCTGAGGGTAACATTATGGACTATGCCAATAAGCAGCTGGCAGGACTGGTGGCTGATTACTACCAGCCACGCTGGGGTCTCTTCATGGAGGCCCTGGCTCACAGCCTGGCCAGAGGTGTCCCCTTCCGACAGCATGAGTTTGAGAAGAATGTTTTCCCACTGGAGCTGGCCTTCATCATCAACAAGAAGAGGTATCCTAGTCATCCCCAAGGGGACACTGTGGACCTATCCAAGAAGCTCTTCCTCAAATATCACCCCCAGGCAGGCTCTTTGTGACAGATCAGCCATCTGGGGACCTGCTGGAACAGGTCTTCAAACCTGAAAAAGCACAGGATGGTCCCTACGCCTGGGGGAAGGAGCCAGAGTCAGCCAGTGAGTGACGCAGATGGCCTGGAGGGAAATGAGCTGCTCTATTCCTCCACTCCAGATCTCGGGGTTAAAGTACTATTTTCTGTTAGCAATAAACTGCTGAATCAGCCTGGCTCTAAAGTATCGTATACTGCTGGGGTGTCTGGAAGGGCTTGGGTGTACATGTGGACCCTGGTTTGGAGGCATTTCTTTCCCGCCCTCACTGCAGCTCTCCCATTTGAACACTGGTCCCCAACCTTAGAAGGTGTACAGTAGCAAGCTGGTAACTAAAAATTGTCCCTTCAGAATGTGGTGGTACACACTGGAAATACAACCCTGAAATGGTGGGAGGCAGGAGGATTAGAAGTTCAAGGCCAACCTCAGTTATGAGTTTGAAGGCAGCCTTGGGTATAAGATAGCCTGTCTCCAAAAACCATCGTGGCGCATGCCTTTAATCCTGTCACTCATGAGGCAGAGGCAGGTGGATCTCTCTGAGTCTGAGGCCAGCCTGGTCTACTTGGTGAGACCCTTTCTCAGAAGCAAGAAGTTCCTTGGGCAGAAGTCTTGTCCCTGTGGCCAGATCTGCCCAGCACTGCTCGGTTTGCACCTGAGCACCCAGCTTGTAGAGCGCCCCTCACCCCCCACTGTGCCCTGACCAACTAAGGCAGTTTGGTGTCTCAACCAATGTCCTTTTCTCTGCTTTGACCCACAGCAGGGTGGGGAGAGCCTGCCAGGGACCTGGCTCAGCCTTGAGATTGCCAGCAGACACAACAAGGGGTGGGCACTGGGGGCAGGAGCAGAGCCAAGCAGATACCCAGCCCCAGCCTGCCACTAGGACCCTTCATGCTCTGAACTTAAGTACTCTTTGTCATGGACCGCACAGTAGTGCTCATTACCGGCTGCTCCTCCGGAATCGGCCTGCACTTGGCTGTTCGTCTGGCTTCCGACCCATCCCAGAGCTTCAAAGGTACAGGAGGGGACAGGCATGGAGGCCAGGGACGAGCCCCCACAGGTAAGCAGGGTGATGAGTCATTTATCCCTCCCAAATTTTAGTGTATGCCACACTGAGGGACCTGAAGGCACAGGGACCACTGTTGGAGGCAGCCCGGGCTCGAGGATGCCCGCCTGGCTCCCTGCAGACATTGGAACTGGATGTCAGAGATTCAGAATCCGTGGCCGCTGCCCAGGCATGTGTGACCGAGGGTCGCGTGGATGTGCTGGGTGAGCCTACCTGAAACACGTCTTTACTACCCAGTGTCCAACCAAACCGGGAAGTCCCGAGTTCAGGAAACATGGGGAGACAAGCGGGGAGGGGAGAGAGCAGTGCGTGAGTGAGCAGTGTCTGTTCTCTCTCCCTGAAGTGTGTAATGCCGGACGGGGCCTGTTCGGGCCACTGGAGGCGCATGAGCTGGATGCGGTTGGCGCCGTGCTGGATGTGAATGTGGTCGGGACGGTTCGGATGCTGCAGGCCTTTCTGCCAGACATGAAGAGGCGCCACTCCGGGCGTGTGCTAGTGACTGCGAGTGTAGGAGGTTTGATGGGTGAGCAAGAGGGACAGAATACCCAAGTAAGGGGTGCAGGGCAGGGCAAGGATCGCCAGGACCTCTGCAACTTTGTCTCCCCTCCTAGGGCTGCCATTCCACGAAGTCTATTGTGCTAGCAAGTTCGCGCTCGAAGGTTTGTGCGAGAGTCTAGCGATCCTGCTGCCACGCTTTGGAGTCCAGTAAGTCACCAGCCTTCCAGAACCCTTTGCAACTTGGGAACCCCCCCCCCCCCCCCAAATTTTGCAATAGCCTTAAAACAAACCCC